TTAATTGGCCAGATAAACTGGTTCAATTAATTAATTAAAAGAGATAATCTTCTTTTCCACGTGGCCCGCTGTGATTGGAGACGAAAATATCTGCTCCCACACATAATGTCCTTGAGAAGGATCCTGGGGGTTTTTCTAGGGTGTAAGATGCCAATTAAAACATGTGATTTTGTTCCTAACAAGCTTCATACCTGGTATTAATGTATCACCTGGGTAATCAAAACTCTGCCTTAAAATATTATCACGGTCATTATGACCATTGCCATCTATCACAACAAGATTTCCGGAATCCAAAAGATGTGCCACTAGATTCTTTGCAGAACTTGATGTGTTGGAAGACCTGAAGTGTTCTTATGGTCGACAGGGATAAGAATTCCAAGGCTGCTCAACTTGATTACACCTGATGAACCAGTGAGGGGTGTTTCTTTTAGTCTGCAATAGCTAGAGTCTTTTGGTTATTACTTACTTTGCTGTGAGAGGAGAAAGAATTTTGTGGGTTGCGAAAGTGATCGGTGGGTATGAGGATGGCAGATTGGGAGATTGGAAGAGAGAGAGGAGACAGTGATAAGTTGGGATAGTGAGAGAACGGTGTTTTGTATACCACATTTCCATACTACATGATGTGGCACCTTATTTTGGACATGCCACCTCATTTAATTTAATTTTATGTTTTTTAATTAAAAACCCTAGTAAAAAAATTGATTAGATCTTACGTTTTATTCTCCACTCCATCTCTTTCTTTTCTCTCCCACCGCTACAGCCTCCTCCCTTCTTGTCCTTCTAGCCATTCTCCGTTCTCCATTCTTTTAGTTGATTCTTATTTGATTTCTAGCAAACCATCTTTTCTTTCCTTTTTACTTTTATAAAGAATGATTTTATCTAATTGTTTCATTCAAAATTAAATGTGTCGAAAGAAAGAAAAATGTCTATATCATGTTAAGGGTTATGGGCCATTGTTCATGGATGAAACACTACTACAAAATAACCCTTGTGCGACGAAAAATTATTCGTCACTAAAAGTCACTGTGCGCGACGAAACTCAAAACTTCGTCGCTAAAAACCTTGCGCGACCAACTTTTGCGCGACGAAAAATAATTCGTCGCTCAAAGTGACTTTGCGCGACGATAATACGTCATCGCGCAAAGTCTTGCGAGACCAAATTTTGCGCGACGAAAAAATATTCGTCGCGCAAAGTCGCTTTGCGCGACCAATATTTTCGTCTTGCAAAGTTACTTTGCGCGACCAATATTTTTTCGTCGCTCAAAGTCTCTTTGAGCAACGAATGAAAAAACTTCGTTGCGCAAAGTCTCACGATCTTTGCGCGACGGAATCTGAGCGACGAAGTTTCGGTCGTGCTAAAATTTGTGCGACTACAATGTATTTTGCGCGACGAAATTCTCTTCGTCGCGCAAAGTGTAAAATGTAGTAGTGAAAGTTCTCAGATCTATCTACGATGATTGGTTTTTTTAATTTACCCTTTTGTATCTTTTGTGATGTTTTTTCCCATTTGTTCTGGAAATTAAGGAGGAGGGATGGAGGATGAAGGGTTTAGGGTTTAGAGGTACTTTCAAGAGGGAGGAGGAAATTGATTGAGGGAGACGAAGAATGGTGGAGGAGGAGGACGCAAGAATATGAGAAGTCTGACAAATTTTATTATCTATATATATAAAGCAAAATGTAGAGAATTGTGAAACATTTAAAATACCAGAAAATGTCATTGGTTAATACGAACATTAAGAATTGAAATTATTAATTAAATGAGGATAATATGGTAAATTCACACTTTTTCATATTTAAAAAAATTAAAATTAAAAGAAAAATCAGATTAATTACATGGTTTGGTCTACCAAACATTTTATCACCACAAAAAACAAAAAAAAAAAAAAAAAAATTTTAGTCACTCAATTTTACACAAAAATTCAATTTCATCATTAAGGAAAAAAATTAATTAAGCCATAGTTGAAAATTATTCAAAAAAACATGCAAAAAAAAAAAAAAAAAAAAAAAAAAAAAAAAAAAACCATATATATCTATTTATATAAAAGAGAAAGACAGAGAATGATAAAATATTCAAAATAGTAAAAAATGCCCTTAGTTAAAAAAATATATTAAGAAATGAACATATTCATTACATTTAAATTGACTTACTAATATATATATAAACTCTAATTGGCATGGGGCTAGTATATATAGAAACTTTGATCTCTCTTTATTAATTACAAGTGTGTATGGGCACCATTTCTGTAGCCTTGTAATGGCATAATATTATAGGCACGAAAATATTAATTCATGAGGCTTACTGCTTCTCTTGCGTAGTGGATATGCTATTAGGGGTGGGCATTAGAACTGGAAAACCGGAAGACCGGACCAGACCGAATAAAAAACCCGAAAAAGAAACCGGTTGACTAAAAAAGTCAACAAATTGACACCGAACCGGACCGGACCGGTTTGAACTGGTTATGGTTATGGTTTTACATATTACAGGACCGGACTGAACCAGACCGGACCAATTATATTAATTTTTTATTTATTTATTTTAAAATATCTTATACTTAACCCTAATTCCACTTAACCTAAATAAAAAGCCCAACTTTAAAACCCATGTACCTTTTTCAAAGCCCATTCCAATCCCACTTAAAATATCTCTATTTTCCCTTTCTTTTTTCTTCCCAAGAAGCTGTCCACTTTTTGGTCAGCTTTTTCTTTTTGTCCTTCTCTCTCTCTCTCTCTCTCTCTTCCGTTTCCCATTTCTCTTCTTTTTGGTCTTGTCATTCTCTGATCTCTCTCTCCTCCTTCCTCTTTTCTTCATTCCTTCTTCTCTCTCTATCTTTCCCGTTTCTTTTTCTTTTCTTCCTCTCCCTTTTCTTTTTTTATTTCTTCTTCTTCTTCTCTGCAACTTCTCTCTCTCTCTCTCCCTCTCCCTCTTTTCCTTTTCTTTCCTTTCTTCCGTTACCTTTTCTTTTCTTCTTCTTCTCTGCGACTCCACTCTCTCTGCCCTTTTTTTTCTTCTCTGCAACTTCACTCTCTCACTCTCTCTCTCTGTGTGATCTGATGAAGAAAATGAAAGGATTTCTTCTTACGGAGCCTTCTTCATATGATGATAACGAAGATCCGAGGACTAGATTCAAGCATCAAAGTCTCATGCAAGGAGAAATCTGGTGTTGTATTCTTTTTTATTTTTTTGTGGTTTCATTAGATCTGGTGTTGTATTCATTTTTCTTTTTTGTGGTTTCATTAGATATGGTGTTGTATCCTTTTTTTTTTTTTTTGTTTTTTTTTTTTTGTGGTTTCATTAGATCTGGTGTGTTTTATGATTTTTGGTTTATTTTGTGTCGAGCCATCTGAGAATATTGAAGGAAAAATTGAAAATTTTTTTAGCTAGAAAGTAAGAATTGTTTAACCAAATTTATGTTTTTTTTTCTTAGTCTATTGTGCATGCGAGAGAACCGGTTCAAACCAGAAAACTGAAAAATCAGACCGAAAATAACCAGTTCCGCTTGATCCGGTTTCTCTCTTTTTTTAAAAAAAACCCGGACCGAACTGGACCGGATGAATAGTACTGGTTCCGGTTTCGGTGTGAGCTGCAAACTGGACCGAACCGGACTGCACCCACCCCTAGATGCTATATAAGTTTCGCTCATTCGCAAGATTTGCTTCAAGTTCAACGTAAACATCCAATAGTGCCTGATAGCAAACTTTTTAGACACTGTTTTAAACCTTTCATCATAGGGGTTTGAGGCTGATTCGATGCAAGTGAAACTTGAACATACATTGTTTTGCTAAAGAATCTGGAAGAGATCGAAGGTAGAGAATAATGATCTTAATTGCTCAAGGATTGGTGTGAGTTGAAGAGTTATGGTTCTTACCTATTGATAGTCAAAGCGTCTGTCTTTGTCTCTCCCTCACCCTCTCTAACCTAGAAAGGCACAGCTGGAATACCCAATCTGTGTTAAACATGGATCCCAACAGAGAGATCGTTTAATTTCTGTTGTGATTCATATTTAACACATGTTGAGTATCTTCCAGCTGTGCCCTTCTATGGATATATAGCTAGATTACAGAGGGTGAGCGAGAGACAAAGACGCTTTCACTATAAATAGGTAAGAACCATAGCTCTTCAACTCACACCAATCCTTGAGCAATTAAGATCATTATTCTCTACCTTCGATCTCTTCTAGATTCTTAACTAGCAATACAATGTCTGTTCAAGTTTCACTTGCATCGGATGAACCTCAAACCCCTAAGGCCACTCCTAATGATGTTAATCGATGTTCTGCTAATTTTTCTCCAAGCGTTTGGGGATCTCATTTTCTGTCATATACTTCTGTGGTAGGCTAATACTATAAATGTACTTCGTATCTGCAACAATTATTTTGAATATGTATATATATATTTTTTAAGGACAATGTTTGGCTCCTGATATATCAGAAGCCATTCCTCCCCAATACAAGACGTGGCCTTCTTAAAAAACGACACATGTTTGTTTGTTTGTGTTTTTTTTTTTCACTGACTCTCCTCTTTTGTTTTTTGGTTGGACAAATCCCTATCTCTTCTCACCCGCTCTCCTCTCCTCCCCCAGCTCTTCTCTCTTCTTTCATCTCTCCCATATGTGTCTCTTCCCATGTTTTTTTTTCACCGACTCTCTCCTCTCTCTTCCTCACCCCACCTTCCTCTCCTCCCCAATCTCTCTCTCTCTCCCCCTCATCTCTCTCTTTCTTCTTGCCATGTCTTTCTTTTTTTTTTTTTTTTTTTTTTCTTTTTTTTTTTTTTTTTTTTTTTTTTTTGACTGACTCCCTCTCTCTCTTCTCACCCACTCTCCTCTCCTCCCCCAGCTCTCTTCTCTCCTCTCCTCATCTCTGTCTCTTCCCCTGCAACTCTTTAGAAGAAATTTTCAGCCCCTCTCTTCCTATCGCTGCTCCTCCATCATCATCATCATCATCACCCAAACACTATGTATTGATTTCTCTCCTTTTTAATTTTTAATTTTGTTGAGCTATTTAATGGGGAGTTTTGGAAATTTTGGGAATGGTGGAAGAAAGAGATGGAGAGATGGAGAGATGAGAGGAGAGAGCACGGGAGGAGAGGAGAGGCGAGTGGGTGAGAAGAGAGAGAAAGAGAGTTGGTGAAAGAAAAAAAAACAGGTGTCATTTTGTAAGAGGCTACAACTTGTATTGAGGAGGAATGGCTCCTGATATATCAGGAGCCAAGCATTGTCCTTTTTTGAATGAATAAGGGGGAATAAATATGTATATTTTCATATTACTAAAGATTCATGGTTTAAATTTGCATGAACCATGCTGAAGTTCCTATCTTTTTAATGGCCTGTCAATCTGTTTTTGTAGAAAACAAACATCAAAGCTAAGCAATGTGCCCGAGAACTGAAGGAAAAGGTGAAGATGATCTTAATGGCTCCAGTTAAAAAGCCTTCACAAAAATTGGACTTGATTCAGGACATTCAGCGCTTAGGTGTTTCTCACCATTTTGAAAATGAGATTGAGGAACTTCTGCAGCAAATTCACAACAGCTCCCATGACAGTACTGAGCCTGGGGACCAAGAAACTGATAATGAGCTTTACACTGCAGCGCTCCGATTTCGATTACTCAGACAACAAGGTTATAATATTTCGTGCCGTACGTAGCCCTCATGGTTTGTTTTATAATTATGGATTAATTTTCTTCCTCTGATCATGGCTTGTTTTAAAAATGCCTCATGATGCAGATATATTCAATAATTTCAAGGACAGTGATGGGAAATTTAAGGAATCCCTGGTGAATGACGTAGTAGGACTTTTAAGCTTGTACGAAGCCACACATCTTAAGGTACCCACGGAGAGGATATACTTGATGAGGCCTTAACCTTCACCACCACTCATCTTGAATCTGCAACGCACCGTTTAAGCCCCATACTTTCGAAACAAGTCACTCATGCCATGTACCAGCCATTCTGGAAGGGCTTCCCAAGACTAGAAACAAGGCATTACCTGTCTCTCTATCAGGAACGCGATTCACAGAAAGAGACTCTCCTGAATTTCGCAAAGCTGGATTTCAATCTACTGCAACAAGTTCATCAAAGAGAACTAAGTGAAATTTCAAGGTTAATGAATTATATATTGTCAATCAGTTTTAATCTCCTATTTACATGAGCATAATGTAATTAATTCATGCAGGTGGTGGAAGGACTTAGACTTTGTAAACACGCTTCCTTTTGCAAGAGACATAGTAGTTGTAGTTGAGAGCTACTTTTGGGCTTCGGGAGTACACTCTTCAGTTTGAGCCTCAATATTACATTGCTAGGATAACACTATGCGAAGTTATTGCTTTGATAACCATCATTGATGACATCTATGATGTGTAAAACTCAGTGACTAAAAATGTTTTTTTTCCCCTACAATTTTTTTTGTGTGCGATGAAATTATAGAGAGATTAGAGATTAATTACATGGTTTGGTCTTTCATATGAAAGTCCTAGTTAGAGCTTACTTCAGAGAAGCCAAATGGTTCCATCAGAAATACACACCAACAATGGATGACTACATGTCGGCAGCGCTTAATACATCCAACTTCATGTTGGCAACCACATCCTTTGTTGGAATTGGAGATATTGCTACCAAAGACTCCATGGATTGGGTGTTCGACGACCCTAAGATGGTAAATAAAGGCTGCATCATTAATTGGTAGAATCATGAATGAACTCAAATCCCACCAGGTACTTTTATTTATCAAAAGTGCTAATTAAAATAACAGTAGTTTATTTGAATTATAGAGAACTTGAGATAGATCTCAAAACCAAACTTTTAACTTCAGGTAGATCCCAAAATTCAACCAAAAGTTGGTTTATTTCACACATTTTGTTATTATTGATCTAAGTCCTTTACCTCGTACATGTATAAGATACGATTACTTTTTTAAAAAAAAAAAAATTCTAATGTAGACATTTTGTTTTTTTCGTTTCTAAATTATTTGAATTGTCCCCCATAACTTACACCCACTACAAGGAAAAACCTTTTTAGCGACCATCACCTTTGGTCGCTAAAAGTTGACATTTCGTCGCCAAATCCCTTTAACGATGAAATTATTTCTTCTCTAGCTTGGTCACCTAAGGTTCGTGGCTAAAAGTACAAGCAACGAAAGGCAACGAAACCAAATTTTCGTCATCAAAACCTTTACGCCACCAATTGGTTTCGTCGCCTTACAGTAATAAGTTGGTCGCCTATAAAGACGAGTTCCCGCGAAAATACCAAAATTTGCTGCGAATTTAGGAAGGATTGGGTGACCAAATAGATTGATTCGTCGCCGATAGGTTCTGGTGACTACCAAATTTGGTCGCTAAAGCTTACTTAGTTGGTCGCTAATATAGGTATATTTTAACTGTTTTTAATTATTTTGTTCATATTCTTTTTTGTGATAATATTAACCTTTTGTTCATTAACACATTGTGATTTCAAAAAACAATAAATTTAGATAAATAGATCAATAGAAAATGGAGTGAATAAAGTTCCCTCATTAAAAAAAACACGAGCATACTAGTTATTCAAGTACACATAACATATCCAAAAATAGTAAGACATAAACGAGTGAAAACTCTCCACTTAAAGACTGGAGGCCAAGCTCCATATATTCTTGCCCTTGGTAAACCCAAGTTCTGCAATAATTATTTCCCCACTTTAAGACTAGGTTTCGACTGAAAAAAATGCATGTATACTATGCCTTTATTCCAAGTTTTGTAGTCATGATCTTTACCACCTGTGGGATAGGGACTGATCTAGTATCGTGGAATTCCCAAACCCTCTGCCAATTGTTGCTTGATCTTCCCAAACTCATCAATTGTCTTCCTTTACAAAAGAAATAAAACAAGGAAATGCAAATAAGAAGATGCCAAAATCAAGAAAATTTTAATATAAAAATATATATAGAGACCAAAAACAAACAATTTTCGACAACACAATTACAAGAAATCTTGCCCAAAAGTTGAAATTCACAACCTTAACTAAATAAGCCATTAAAGGGAGTTTGGATCTACATAAGAAAAACGATTATTGGTCATCAATATTTAAGAATGTTTGAGAATGGTATTTGAACAAACTTAATAAAATCTGAATTCATTTTTCATACCTCTCAATATCAACCGTCTAAAGCATACCTTTGTGATAATAACAAATACCATAAATGAAGAAGGAAAACAGTTCCAAAAAACCAATGTAAAGAATAATATCATGCATAGCACAAACCCATTAAAAAACATAAATCATAAAATCCAAAGTATAATCCACACCTTAACCAACATGGGTTGCATAACTTCTCAACACAATACAGAACATGTACGCCATTTTAATACCTTTAAACAACAACACCACAATGACATTGACAACCACTATAGCTGTTAATACGAAAACAAATGGAACTGGGGTGTAATGAGAAGAAGAGGTTCTTACCTCAAATGGTCCTTTGTCCAAAACCACAAGCCAAATCCTTCCACCTCCTCAAATAATCTGACATGCAAAAACAGGATATTACCTCAGTAAAGTCAGACTCCTAAATGACATTTTTCTAAATACATTATAATATAAAGAGAGCCACAGACCCAAATAAGGCAATCATTCATTGGTTTTCATGTTTACAATGCAAATAGAAACGCTGAACGACAACTTTTTCAGTTTCCACTAGAATACAATGAAGAATTGAAATAAAAATATATCTAAATGTAGAAAAAGAGGATTGAATTGAAATAAAATAACATGAAAAATCCTTTAAAAGCTATCAGAGGATGATCCTAGTGAAAACCTAGAAGTCTTGAAGATATTTCTTTATCATATTTTCAAGCCCATGACACAGAGTTTGCTTAAGCACATAGCCTGAAAGTCCTAATTTTCTAGGCACTTCAATTTGGTCTTCAACCTTTGCTGATGACCAAATAAACATTTTGTTAAACAATTTGGGCAGGAACATTTCAACTTGGGAAATTCACTAAAAATTCAGTTTGAGTCAACATAGTCAGAAACTTTCCGGATCAGAACTAGACACATAAAACTTCATCACATCAAAATTTCACGGCATTCGAGGTTAAGGAAGCAAGTCAAAAATAAAATCCAAAACAGACTGGGCTGCAGAGTTTTCTGCTTCCTACAACATAACAACTACTTTGAAAATTTGCCAAAAATCCAATTTAACTCCAAATTGTATGAAACCAGTTTTGAAATGCTCATTGAAATGTCTAATTATAAAAAATCCACATCAAAATATAAATCCGAACTAGGTCTTTTGGTTTAGGACATAACACAAGATCACAGATTTCTGCATAACCTCAGATTTCATCAACCAACCCAAATCTTTAAAAATTCACCACTTATCAGCTTTAAACATCAAAACACTAAATCATACAAATGTGGCTATTTACTATTGAAAGAGTATTAATCTGAAATTACCAACTACAATAAAAAAAAAAATAAAGGCAGAGCTTAAATTGAATAACTAACTATGAAATTTTTACAACAAAAACCACAACGGCAGCTTCAACAATTACGCAGCTTCTCCTTCACTAAACAACATGGCTAAACTGCAAAACTCTAAAAGAAATACGAAGTGTCTATAAAAAACTTGATATATCATTGAAGAAATGTACAAGACTACAGTGCAATATTGAGTTACAAAGCACAACCAATTAAAGAAAGGGAAAACAGAGGAAAACACTACCACAAAAACAGAGAGAGAGCGAGACAGAGAGGTTGACCTGATTCCATTCCACATCTATGGACCCAACCAATTCAGTAGAAAATTTAGTTCTAACAGGCTAGTGATACATACGTACAAAATTTGACTTATAAATTTCATCACCATTAAAAACATAGAAAAGTATACATGAGTTTTCAATGTAAAAAACCATTGTCAAGATATACGAACTCAACTACACTAGAATTTTTAACAAATAAACCCATATAAAGAATACATACCAAGTTCGAGATACAGTGGAGCATGCACCATGACCTTGCTATTACAGGTCTGAAAAACACCTAAGAAAAATCAGTCTCAATCTCCTTCAACCACCAAAAATAACCAATAGGCACTAGATCTAACATTAAAACCTTCAATGAACCATAAATTGCAACCGTATATGACAGAAAATTGATGAAATTGAAAAAAATATCTTACCTTTTCTAGTGGATTTCAGTTTTGGAAAGGGATTTAGGGGCCTATGGTTTGGGGGGATCCTGGGGATTTCGGTATGATGAGAGAGAAGCAGAACCAACCCGGAGAAATAGCAAGAGATAGGATAGAGAGGAAAATGAGAGAGACACAGAGAGAGGTTTTGGGTTTCTGAGAGGGCTAGCCAGAAGAAGACTATCGTGTCTGGTACCAGATTAATACTGTTTTAGAGAAATACTAAGTGGGAAATGAAAGGACACAGTTTTAATATTTTAGATTTTTTTACTTCACAAGCCGCGACCAAAACAATTAGTCTTTAAGTTGCAGCAAATATTTGGGCGGGTCTCGCGAATTTTTTTCACAGCATCTCACATTTGGAGACGACGCAAGAAAACTTACACAAAATATTTTTGTCGCCAATAGCTTAAGGGCAACCAAAAATGTGTTTGGTCTCTAATTCATCACCTAGCGACCAAATATTTTCATCGCCGTAACAAAATATTCTTTCGTAAATCAATTTATACACCCAACGAAAGTTTTGGCGATGAATTAAAAAATTTTGTCACATATAACCTCATTTGGCGACCAAAATTGGGCTTGTCGATAAAATTTTGGTTGCAAAAGAAGTTTTTTCTTGTAGTGCCCTTTCAAGCCTTAACCTTCGTGTCTATATTCAGGCAGTTTGAGCAAAAGAGAGGACATGTTGCCTCAGCTGTGAAATGCTACATGAAAGAATATGGTGCCACAGAAGAAGAAGCAAATATCGAACTAAGCAAGCAAGTGAATAATGCATGGAAGGACATAAACGAAACGTGCATCCAGAACACCACCATCCCCATGCGCCTGTTACTGCGAATTTTGAATCTTGCACGTGTGGTTGAAGTTTTATACAAGCATGGTGATGGCTTTACTCATGCTGGAATTTTTCTCAAGGATTCTGTAGTTTCTCTGTTTGTAGAACCTGTGCCCCTGTAGGCCTAGAATTTGAACTTGTCCTTTGTTGGAGCATAAAATTTCTAGTCCTCCAACAAGTAATCTTATGTCCTTGTTGAGAAGCCGATCACCACACTTCACTTGCCACAAATGAGAGAGAAGGGAGTACCTACAAGAGAACGCGCAGATGCCCAAATCAGTGTTTAGAAATATCATAGTAGAATCAGAATATCCCTTACCCAAGTCCTGTAGTAAAATAAGGAGCCAGTCTTCCATGATTGGAACCATTATTTGAATTAATTAGTTTGGTCTTTCTGCGAAAAAGATAAGACGAAGAAAAAATTTATGTGCTCGACTTACCTTGGAATGCACGGTAATTCCTCTCTTCAACAAGCATAACAAATTCTCCAAGATCTTTCTCAAGCTAGAAGGTAGAGAAGTTAAGTTTGTGATGTGAGAAAGAGTGAAGAAAAGTCCTGTATTTATACAAGTTGGACAAGTCAGGTCAAGAAGGAATCACAATCTCATTCCTACTGGGAGTCCAACTCCAAGAACAGTCAGAAGCCTACTCTAATTGGGAACCCGATCTGCAAAGGAGTCCAACTCACAGAATGAAGCCCAATCACAGCACGCCACGTGGAAAAGAAGATTATCTCTTAAATTAATTAATTGAACCAATTTATTTGGCCAATTAATTAATAGGGATAATATCTGAATTAATATGATATTATCTTTATTTAATAAGATAATATCATTAATTCAAATATTATCCTAATAAAGAGAAGATAATATCATTAATTAAGATATTATCATAATAAAAAGAGATAATATCATTAATTTTGATATTATCTTCAATAAAGAGATATAATCAAGTCTAACTCGATCTCTACAAAACCCTACGAAACCCTAGCCCTGAGACTCCTATAAATAGACAACTTCATTCATCATTCAAGGTACATCTAAACCTACTCCTAATACCCGAGAAAATACCCGAACCTCTCTCCCTCTCCACTCTCCACTCTCCATATTTTCCCCACACGGCTTCGGCCACCACGCACGGCTCCGGCCGCCAGGTTCACACCATACATACAACTCCGTACCCTTTGCTTAGCTATTATTTTCCTACAAACACTCGAACTAACTTAGGCATCGGAGGGTCTTTGGCCAACACCCCCTGGGTGTGGTCTATTTACTCCTGTCTTTTTTACAGGAACTGAGGAAGAGAGAGAAGGAAGATTGAAGATTGAAGGATCTAGAAGCGAATATTCTCCTATGAGATTATTTGCACAAACACTAGCCTCAAGAACGAAAGATAGTTGGTGAATCTCATGGATGTTTTGTGATAAAAACCCAGCATAATAAGTACATAAGATTGGTCACAAGGGTCTCAAAGATCATGAGTTCAAAAAATCACTCGAATTTTAAATCATTTAACCATTAATTTAATAATTGTCATTTTAATATTTTCTTTAAAAAGAGAAAAGGTCATACATGATATGAAAGGAAAATAAGTCTAGACAACAAAAAAGGCCATTATTTCTGATTGTTGTAGTAGCTTTACTATTTTTGTTTTTTTTTTAAAACCTTTTGCTTTCAAAAGTTAATCTTGCCATTATCACCTATTTCTTAAAAAGTGAGTAGAGCTCCATTCTGAGGACTTTTTTAAAATTGTCGACACTGCTTTTGTACCTTTGTATATGACAATATTGAATTCTACTATGTTTTTATTTCTTTTAAGAATGAATTCCCATCCTTTTCTTTATTTAAATAATGACTTCCAAGCCCTCACACCACCAAGTCGACCCAACTATCCAAAATCTTATCGTTTGAAGCAAAAAAACTTATCTATAACAAAAAATAGCACTGTTTTGCTATCTCCGAGCAATAACACAATGACATGTGGAAAAGTTATCCTACCTGTCATTGCGTTATTGGTCGGGGATAAAAAAAAACTTGCTATCCCCATCACATGAGAGTTTCTCTCCGTTTGAAGGGTTCCTAGACAACTTACAACGTAGGGACGATCCCTAAGAGCACCTCCACCCCAAAAGACAAGGGTAAGGCAAATGCAAGGCAATGTTTGTCACTATTCATGTGAATAGTGGCAACCTTGCCTTTTTTGTTCCACCCGAAAGGGCATGGGAAATTACTATTCACTTTAATTTATTTTCTATTTTTTATACTCAAACTATCACATCCCGGATCGGCTATACTGTAGCACAATATTGTTCGCTTTGGGCCCCTTGCCCTCATAGTTTTGTTTCTGGAAAGTCACGGGTAACTTCCCAGTGGGTCACCCATCTTGAGATTGCTCTAGCTCAAACTCGCTTAACTTCGGAGTTCCCCCGACTCCGAAGCCAATGAGCTCCCAAAAGATCTCGTGCTAGATGGAGGTGGACATATACATATAAGACACATCATCCCCTCTCCGTTGGTCGATGTCGGATGTTACAATCCACCTCTCTTAGGGGCCCGACATCCTCGTCGGCATAATCGCACCACAAGGCAGAGTGGCTCTGATACCATTCTATCACATCCCAGATCGACTCCGTCGTAGCACGATATTGTCTGCTTTGGGCCCCCTGTCCTCATGATTTTATTTTTGGGAACTCATGGGCAACTTTCCAGTGGGTCACCCATCTTGGGATTACTCTAGCCCAAACTCACTTAACTTCGGAGTGCTCCCGACTCCAAAGTCAGTTAGCTCCCAAAAGGCATCGTGCTAGATGAAGGTGGGCATGTACATATAAAGCACATCACCCCCTCTCCATCAGTCGATGTGAGATGTTATATAAACCATTAATTTTAATGAGATTTTCGGATAAAATTTCATGTTGCCACATATCACTATTTATTATAAAATTCTCATCTCAAATTTTAGATAAAATTTTCGGATAAGATTTTCGAATTAAATTTTTGGATAAGATTTTCGGTTGCCATGTGTCCATATTGATTATAAAGTTCACATCTTCCTCATCATACAATTGAAATACCTACTCACTCATCAAACAATTGAAATACTCATGGTCCTCATAGTCTGACACAATTGAGTACAAGGACGACTCAATCATTGGCGGAGGTGGTTCCACTGGATCACGATGTGGGGGAGTATTTTCCTTCGGAGGACGTAATAGTGTCATTATTTCCGACACGGATGCACCAATGGAACAAACTGTGGGTATTGTTCACTTAATGAGCCATGTGTAATGGTTTTCCTCTTTTTTGTTTTGCCATGAATAGTCTATCAAAAAAATAAAATTGGAAATGCAAGAAATATTAAAAAATGACATTAAATTGAATAAAACGGCAATTAATATTTTCTTGCGTGCAAAAAATCACTCGAATATGAAACTCTTTAACCACTAAATTCAATGGTTGTCATTTTAATATTTTCTTGAAATAACTTGTTTGCCTATTTTGTTCCTCATTTATGCCTGGGCACGGATCGGTTTGAAATGGTAGAATGCTCTTCCGTTAACCAAACCAAAGACTTCGGTAGACTTTGAATTAGTTAACCTAATACTCGGTTCGGATTGGCCAGTATGCCGGTAGTACCATAATAAAAACATACTAATAAAAATACAATTTATAATACTTTCACATAACATAAGTTCTTGAACAAACACACCAAATTATCCTTGTAAAATATAAAAATCCAATAGTCTAATTCATCCAAGTATGAAATCAAATAATTTAGTGACTATATCATTCGATATGTACTCAAGATGTACTAGAAGCCACTTGTGTTTGTTGTCTGAACCTTTAAGTGTTCTTTTTATTGAATTCTCTACATTTATGTAAATGATTTTGACACTTGTTCTGCGCTGGGTTCTTTAGTTTTTCATGCTGAATCCAACCATACAAAGAACATAAAATTTGGATCAACATTTGGAAAGCTACAGGTGAAAAAGGGACAAAGGTCGAAACTGGAAAACATAGGAAGTTCATAAATTCCTCTCTGACCAAAAAGTGCTACAGTACTCGAGTAAGTGATACAATGGTGATAAAGAGGTTATATAGTGGTGATAAAGCAGTGATAAAATGGTGATAAAGCAGTGATACAATGGTGAGAAAGAAGTGATACAGTAATGATAAAGGAGTGATACAAATTGTTGTTTGTATTTATCTTTGGTTTCTTGTTTTGTATTTAAATAATAAAGTAAGAATAAATATCGGATCGGTACGGGTTTCCGTCGAGTTAAGAATTTTGTTTCCGTTAACCAAACCAAACATTTCGGTACGGATCGGATCGGAATAATTAAAATTAAAAAATAATTATTCAACCAAGCCAAACCAAACCGTCGGTACGGTACGGTCGGTACACGGATAATTCGGATGAGATGCCCACCCTTAGGTGCATTAATGATTTCTGACTTGTCTTAAATTTTACATTAATAACTTTTAAATGAAAGCTAAAAAAATAGACAGTAAAATTCATAATGAACCCACACAATGTCCCTCGATAGAAAAGGAATATTAGCATTATTATTTTGGTGCGTATACTGTTTGGCCTGACAATTGATTACTTTACAATTTACATGGGATGGATTCACATAGGAGCAAGGGTGGTCAAGTGACCACATAGGAGCAAATGTCTTTTGACAGGATCCGAGCCAAATTCTACTTTCGAATCTTAGTTAGAAGGGAAATTTGGTCAAGTGTGTCATGCTCGACACTTGCCAAGTGTCAGACACGCACAGGATTCGATGCAGATTCCAAAGTGGAATTTGGGTCGGGTCCTGTCATCTTTGTCCTTTTACTTTCATTTATTTTTATATTACTCCATTTACTTAAGTTTACAATGTAAATAAGGAAGTACCACCGCCCCCCCTCCCCTCCTCCCCCTCAACATTTGGATTCAAATAAAAATACTAGAAAATCAAATTCCTACCAAATCAAAATATGAAGAAAAAAAAATCAGTTTAAGTGCAAAATATGATTTTGGCTAAAAATGATGGCTCATTAAGTCAATATATACTTCATACTAAAATTTCATAAAATCAAGTTTTCTTATTTGATGTGTAAGGAATAAAAGCCGCCAAAAATTATCTTGAGAAAATGATTTTTCATGTATGAAATGAATGCATTAAGGGACCTAAGGTCAATCTAGGTAAAAAGCCTTATTTTGGTTAGTATGGAAAAATTAGGGATTTTTTTAATAGATTGTATTTCTTTGTTTGTATGCTTTATTGATTATTTCTATCAATACAGTTTATGGAACGATACTTTAAGAGAAAGTTCTCATCAACTATTTCTAGTTCGGATAATGTGGATAGTTCAAGTTCGAGAGATATGGGTATTTCAAGAGATGTGTTGGGTAGTTCGAAAGAAGTGAGTTGCAAGAAAATTTGAGAACTCGTCATGGACAATTGTACTGTGGTTTTTTCTATTAATTAAGAATTATAAATTATCGTTTCATTTTTATGAGTTTATTTTTGTGTAATTTTTTTTAACCTCTTAGGTGTTGACCCCTGCGAGGAATGTTTTTGGATCCGTTAGAGATTGTTAGTATTGCTGAAAACAGTAGATATTGTTTGTCTCTCCGATTCCAGTTGCTTAGGCAACAAGGTAATAAGGTTTCATGCGGTTAGTCTGCGGTCACACGTTTGTTTTATAATTCTAGCTAGATTAATTAATTTTAATTTCTTCCTCTAATCTTGTAATAATATTAATGCATGTGCTGATGTATGTAGTAGGGCTGCTAAGCTTGTACGAAGCCACACATCTTAGGATGCATTACTAGATGAGGCGCTTGCCTTCACCACCACAAATCTAACTACGGCGGTTGAAACGCAGCGTTTAAGCCCCTCACTTGCTAAACAAGTAACTCATGCCTTGTAACAACCATTCTGGAAGGGCTTCACAAGGCTGGAAGCAAGGATTTACTTGTCCATCTATGAGGAGGAAGGCCACTCACAAAATCCAACTCTCCTAATTAACTTTGGCAAAGCTGGATTTTAACCTTGTGCAGCAAGTCCATCAGAAAGAACTAAGTGAAATTACAAGGTTAATTAACTACATTAAGTGAAATGCTAATTAATTCAAAATTAATGATTATTAATTGTAATTAATTGATATTTATTCAGGTTGTGGAAGGACTTGGACTTTGTAAACAAGCTGCCCTTTGCAAGAGACAGAATAGTTGAGAGCTACTTTGGGGCTTCGAGAGTTTACTTTTAGCCTGAATATTACTTTGCTAGGATGATATTGGCCGAAGTTATTGCTTTGATAACCATCATTGATGACATCTATGATGTGTATTGCACAGCTGATGAACTAGAGCTCTTTGCTGAAGATGAGTTTTAGCTAAATACTGAATAATGATCATCAGTTTGACACAAGTCTTATTAACTTATTTTTATCATCAGGTGGGACATCTTAGCCATGGACAACCTGCCAGAGTATATGAAATTCTGTTGTCAAGCAATGTTGGATTTCTACACTGAAAGTTTGGAGAAGAGGGAGATTTATATCACAGTCACTATGCTAGAGAAGCAGTAAGCCTCATATGTTTTGAGCTAGCCACGATTAACATCGTTACATGGCCAGAAATTAATCATTTAGTTAATTAATTTCTTTTTCTAGTATATATGATAAATTCTGAGGTAATATGTACAAATAATTCCTTCCTACAGCCTTCCAAACTTGGGCCTAAATAACAGTTGTTTTAAATTAAAAAAAAAAATTGTTTAGGCTTATAAACCGGCTCAATCCAAACTGCCATATTGTTTCTAAATTGGTTTCTCTAACTTGTATTTATATATATAGAGTGTCCATTGAGACATCCCTCAAATAAACCAATTTGAGGGACACTCTTGTATTTTAATTATCTGAACTAATTATATATATATATATATATTATAATAATAATAAAAAAGTGTATTGCCATACAATTTTTTAATAATTAAAAAAAAAGTTGTATAGTCACCCGGCTATATGATTTAATTATATTATATTTACAATGAGTATTTCCGCATGGCTATAGTATTTATTGGGAAAAAAAAACAGTACCCTTCTAGTTGCATTAGTTTATACTTTATAGATATTGCTAGTTTCGACATCTCCAAAGCAGATATTGAAGAGAGAAATTTGACACTAAATCAATTTGAGAGTTCAATTCGTAGTATAACCGCACGGCTATGCTATTATTAAACCAAATTTTAAAAAACTTCGGTATAGCTGTGCGGCTATACGATTTAATTATATGTCGAATGATGCATTCATATGTTAAAGACATGTAGAGAAGCATTTTGTATTTGATACACACAAAGGAGAAAGAATCTAAATTCCTCTCTCTCACCTATTGCCACACCATCCAATTGGTTTTTAAGGCAAACTGCCCACACCTTCTCTCCATCTAGTGTGGCTTAGAGCACTTTCAGCAGTTTGCCCTTTGCCATGGCAAGACGGGGACTAGGGCAACAACTATTCACGTGAATAGTTGCTGCCCTTGCAAAAGGTTGTGGTGTTTCCACCAATTGTCATAGCAACAACTATTCACATGAGACATGAGGAGAGAAATTTGTATAGAGTTTTGGTGTAGGAAGTGAAAACTACAACTAAGTATTTATTTATTTTTTAAAAAAAAATATGAAATTTTTTGAAGTTTTGTTTTTAAAAAAAATTTGTTGCTAACGTCAACAAACTCGGGTTGGAACTACGGCAGATTTTGCTTGAGGGCTAGCCTGATTTCGTGGGCCCCATCTCCTGCCAGGGCTAGCCCTTGCTGCTGAAAACAATTTTTGGGCCTAAACCCCACAAGCCCTTGTTGCTGGAACTGCTCTTACAACACACACAACTCATAAAAAAGCATGGCCCATAATTTTCTCTTTTACAGCTGCTCCACGTGGCTTTTGTTCCCTACTTTTTCACAAGGGCTGACTTTCCCTTTCTTTTAGCTTGCCCACGTGCTGCCTTGTGTCTCTTCATCTCCCTCTCTCACATGGTGCAAGGCTTCACACAAAGGGGAAAGAATCTAAATTCCTATATCTCACCTAGGGGTGGGCTCGGTTTGGGTTGGTTCGGTTTTGGGCTCAACCCGAACACCGAATCGTAGGCCTCGGTTTGGCTATTTTGAAAACCGAAACCAAACCATAATTGATGAAAACCAACCACTTCGGTTAACAAGACTTGGTGGTTTGGTTTCGGTTTTTTGGCTTTCTTAGAGAGAGAGAGAGAGAGAGAGAGAGAGAGAGAGAAGAAATAAAAGCGATGGAGAGGAGAAGAAGAAGAAAAAAAGACGGAGAGATGGAGAAGAAGAAGAAGAAGAAGAAGAGGAGAAGAAGAAAAGAGAGAGAAAAAGAAGAAGAGGGAGATGGGGAGAGGGAGTGAAGACAGACGTAAGAAGGAGAATAAAAAATAGAGAGAGAAGGATAGATGAAGACAAGACAAACTAAGAGATTGAGAGAGAAGAAAAAGAAAAATATTGAAACTATGTATTTTGTATATATATTTATTATAATAATATTATATATAATATTTTTTTAATATTTTCAGTTTGGTTTGGTAAAACTGTGGTTTTCAATATTGCAAACCATACACCAAACCATATATTTCGATTTGGTTTGAGTTCAAACCGATGACCAAAAAAAGATTGAAAAAAAATCAAACCAACCTAAACCATCGATTTGGTTTAGGCGGTTTGACCAGGTTACCAGTTTGAATGCCCAGCCCTCACCTATTGCCGCACCATCCAATTGGTTTTTAAGGCAAACTGCCCACACCTTCTCTCCATCTAGTGTGGCCCACAACACACAACTCATAAAGAAGCCTCGAACCATGCACCAACAGCAGCCCATAATTTTATCTTTTACAGCTGCTCACGGCTTTTGTTCCCTACTTTTTGACGAGGGCTGACTTTCCCTTCCTTTAAGCTTGACTTTCCCAAGGGTCACAAATAAAAAAAACACAATTAATTAAAACAAAAAATTTGAGCCAATTTACAACAGCTAGATTAGAGAGGGTGAGCGAGAGAGAGAGACAGACGCTTTCACTATAAATAGGTAAGAACCATAGCTCTTCAACTCACACCAATCCTTGAACAATTAAGATCATATTCTCTACCTTCGATCTCTTCCAGATTCTTAACTAGCAATATAATGTCTGTTCAAGTTTCACTTGCATCGGATCAACCTCAAATCCCTAAGGCCACTCCTAATGATATTAATCGCCGTTCTGCTAATTTTTCTCCGAGCGTTTGGGGATCTCATTTTCTGTCATATGCTTTTGTGGTAGGCTAATACTATATAGGTACTTCGTATCTGCAACAATTATTTTGAATATGTATATATATTTTTTTTAATGAATAAGGGGGAATAAATATGTATATTTTCATATTACTAAAGATTCATGGTTTAAATTTGCATGAACCATGCTGAAGTTCCTATATTTTTAATGGCCTTTCAATCTGTTTTTGTAGGAAACAAGCATCAAAGCTAAGCAACGTGCCCAAGAACTGAAGGAAAAGGTGAAGATGATCTTAATGGCTCCAGTTAAAAAGCCTTCACAAAAATTGGACTTGATTCGGGACATTCAGCACTTAGGTGTTTCTCACCATTTTGAAAATGAGATTGAGGAACTTCTGCAGAAAATTCACAACAGCTCCCATGATAGTACTGAGCCTGGGGACCAAGAAACTGATAATGAGCTTTACACTGCAGCGCTCCGATTTCGATTACTCAGACAACAAGGTTATAATATTTCGTGCGGTACGTAGCCCTCATGGTTTGTTTTATAATTATGGATTAATTTTCTTCCTCTGATCATGGCTTGTTTTAAAAATGCCTCATGATGCAGATATATTCAATAATTTCAGGGACAGTGATGGGAAATTTAAAGAATCCCTGGTGAATGACGTATTAGGACTTTTAAGCTTGTACGAAGCCACACATCTTAGGAACCACGGAGAGCATATACTTGATGAGGCCTTAATCTTCACCACCACTCATCTTGAATCTGCAACGCACCGTTTAAGTCCCATACTTTCGAAACAAGTCACTCATGCCATGTACCAGCCATTCTGGAAGGGCTTGCCAAGGCTAGAAACAAGACATTACATGTCTCTCTATCAGGAAAGCGATTCACAGAACGAGACTCTCTTGAATTTCGCAAAGCTAGATTTCAATCTACTGCAACAAGTTCATCAAAGAGAACTAAGTGAAGTTTCAAGGTTAATGTATTATATATTGTCAATCAGTTTTAATCTCCTATTTACATTAGCATAATGTAATTAATTCATGCAGGTGGTGGAAGGACTTAGACTTTGTAAACACGCTACCTTTTGCAAGAGACAGAGTAGTTGAGAGCTACTTTTGGGCTTCTGGAGTACACTTTGAGCCTCAATATTACTCTGCTAGGATAACACTACGCAAAGTTATTGCTTTGATAACCATCATTGATGACATCTACGATGTGCACGGCACACATGAGGAACTAGAGCTCTTTACTGAAGCTGTTGAAAGGTTCAAAATAATAGTCCTTATTTCGTTAGTATTAGTATTTTGAAAAGAAAAAAAAAAACTTGAACTGAATGATTGAGGAAATTTTACAGATGACACTCCAAAAGAGTCATCATGCACTCATCCAAAACAATTATAAAAAGACAACTTTTTTGGAGTGTCTATAACAGCTCCTCATACTAGTATATCTGAATAAGCCGTAACAAGACATATAGTCTCATATCATCTTATTTATATGATAAGGTGGGACATCTCTGCTATGGATCATCTGCCAGAGTACATGAAAGTTTGCCATCAAGCACTATTGGATGTTTACGTTGAAATTGAAGAAAATCTTGCAAATGAGGGAAACTTATATAGCATCCACTACGCAAGAGAAGCAGTGAGCCTTTCATGCCCATAATATTATGCCATTACCGATTAGAGTTTTTTTTTATTTTTTAAATTTTATAATAAATATAAATATATATATTTTTAAATATTAGTAAGTCAATCTAAATGTAATAAATATGTTCATTTCTTAATATATTTTTTAACTAAGGGCATGGGTATTTTGAATATTTTATCATTCTTTGTCTTTCTCTTTTTATAAATAGATTATATGGGGTAAAAAACTTTTTTTTTTGTCACTTGTTTTGCATAAAATTTCAATTTGGTCACTAGGCTTAATTTTTAATTTTTTTTTTATTTTTTGTAATGATGAAATTGAATTTTTGTGTAAAACTCAGTGACTAAAAATGTATTTTTCCCCTACGTGTTTTTTTTTGTGTGTGTGATGAAATTATAGAGAGATTAGAGATTAATTACATGGTTTGGTCTTTCAGATGAAAGTCCTAGTTAGAGCTTACTTCCGAGAAGCCAAATGGTTCCATCAGAAATACACACCAACAATGGATGACTACATGTCGGCAGCGCTTAATACATCCAACTTCATGTTGGCAACCACATCCTTTGTTGGAATGGGAGATATTGCTACCAAAGACTCCATGGATTGGGTTTTTCGACGACCCTAAGATGGTAAAGGCTGCATCATTAATTTTTAGAATCATGAATGACCCAAATCCGACCAGGTACTTTTATATATCAAAAGTACTAATTAAAATGACAGTAGTTTATTTGAATTATAGAGAACTTGAGATAGATCTCAAAACCAAACTTTTAACTTCAGGTAGATCCAAAAATTCAACCAAAATTTGGGTTTAGTTTCACACACATTAGTTGTTGTTGATCTAAGTCCTTTGCCTCCTATGTGTAAGAAGATAATATTAAAAAAAAAAAAAAAAAAAAAAAACTAAATGTAGACATTTTGTTTTTTTCGTCTCTTTTGTTTGAGCAAAAGAGAGGACATGTTGCCTCAGCTGTGAAATGCTACATGAAAGAATATGGTGCCACAGAAGAAGAAGCAAATATCGAACTAAGCAAGCAAGTGAATAATGCATTGAAGACATAAACGAAACGTGCATCCAGAACACCACCATCCCCTTGCCCCTGTTACTGCGAATTTTGAATCTTGCACGTGTGGTTGAAGTTTTATACAAGCATGGTGATGGCTTTACTGATGCTGGAATTTTTCTCAAGGATTCTGTAGTTTCTCTGTTTGTAGAACCTGTGCCCCTATAGGCCTAGAATTTGAACTTGTCCTTTGTTGGAGCATAAAAATTTCTAGTCCTCCAACAAGTAATCTTATGTCCTTGTTGAGAAGCCGATCACCATACTTCACTTGCCACAAATGAGAGAGAAGGGAGTACCTGCAAGAGAACCCACAGATGCCCAAATCAGTGTTTAGAATTATCATAGTAGAATCAGAATATCCCTTACCCAAGTCCTGTAGTAAAATAAGGAGCCAGTCTTCCATGATTGGAACCATTATTTGAATGAATATGTTTTGGTGTTGCTGTTTTGTTCTTGATGCTATGAATTAAATAAAATTTGTTTAACTTTTTAGCATATAAAATCCAATTGGAGTAGTAGGTACTTGTAGCGGAAGTTCCATTGTAAGCCAATGCAATCCAATTTTACATCATATCCAATCCAATCGCAGTTACCAAATTAGTTAGTAGAGTGAGAATCTGGTTGTATTATATTATTTAGAGGTAAATGGTTTAGTTGATACACAGTTCTTTACATGGCCCTGGATTCACTTGATCGGTGCATATTTACATATCATTTTGTACCCTTCTAACTTATGATTTGATTATGTTTTTGAGTTAAACTTGTGTTTTTAATAAGTTTTGTCTTTGTTTCAGTGTAATAAGCTTGAGACTCATTAAAGGCATTTTGGAGACAAGTTAGCTCAAAACGGTGTGTTGCAGATCAGTCAACTTTCACGGATTTAGACTGTACTTGCTCAAGAAGAACCAGATAATGACCATACATCACTAGAAAGATGCGGAAGTCTAGTTTTCTGGAGAATTTTACGGTTTCATGATTCCGAGTCTTCTAGAGAAAGTTATACAAATTTGGCAGCTTAAGGTCAGAAATCGGCAGCATCTGCGTTACTGGGCCAAAAATGACATTTTGATGGTCTTTCTGATTTTTCCTTGAGCTGGACTGCATATTCTTGGAAAGATAAGACAAAGAGCTTCAAGATCCCTATTTTTTCAGATTTTTCAGACTGGATGAACAAGCCCAAAACGAGCCCACAAACTGACTACAATGCATTGTCATGCATGATGAAGTGTTATTGATTGTGGGAAGGTTAGGTAAAGCATATTCAAACTTATAATTTGAGTGGAGTTTTGCAGCAACCAAATGAAGTAAAAGAAGATGAAGTGGGAGCTGCAACACTAAGCTTGAAGAGAAGAAGATTGTTTTCAAATGCAATTATGTGTTAGGTGAAGTTGGTGAATTAAGTGTTTTAAGTTGGTGAAGTGAGTGTTGTAGGTAGAAGCAATACTTAATTCAAATTTTCACTTCCCTTAGGCCTATAAATAGTGAGTTTCTCCAAGCTTGTAAACACACCCCAAGGGGGGGAGCTCTCAAACACTTCTCTAGAGCTCCCCTCCTCTCCCTCAAATTCTCTTAGTTTTCTTTTCTAGTTCTTAATTGTTATAACAAAATTATTTTGATAAATTTTTGTTTTAAGTTTTTTTAAGTTTACTTTACTTATTTATTTGTAATGTAAATTCTTTTCTTAAGTATTCAATTTTGATTAGTTTCCAAGTTTCAATTATGGTTTTTGTTCTTATTCATTAGGCTTATGAGTTAATATGTTAGTTTGAATAATTGATCACCATTAAGGCTTGCATGTTAGCTATCTTGGTTTGAATTAAGAGTAGACTCCATGCTTTAATTCGAATTGAACTATGAATAGGAAGAGTATGTATGGACATTCGACAACAGGGATTAAATACATACTTGGTTGTTTAAAATGTTCTTCTATGCTTAATGGATTCCTAATGCTTAATTTTAGGTTAGACAACAGATGATCAAATTAGGGAATTAAGAATATAAGGTTAGGACCCTACACCATGGCTTAATCATACTTTAGCTAGAATCAATCTGTTAATCTAAGTGATGATGGATTTTGAAGGGTCTGATGGGTTGGTAATTATAGCATCTTTGGTGTATTTGTTAATTGTTTTTTCAGTATCTTAAAGTGAAGATTAATGATGATGGTCGTGGTCTTTAAATACAGTTTTTTTACTTAGACAATGAAGGTTATGTGTCATGGAAACATCAACCTCAATATACCAACATGCAATATACAGTACTTTGGTGGTTGGTTTATGGTTGTCCTTTTAGCATATCGTAATACGGTTGATACACGATTTCATAGAAAAGTTGCGGTAATTGACCACAACCACCCCTACTTGAAGATATATTTTGTAGCTTTGCCATGGCAGAGATACGAATCTCTAGCCTATGCATTTAGAGGCTGTGCATTTATCCACATTTCGTTAAATCTCAACAGTTGTAAGAGCACTTCCAGCAGTTTGCCCTTTGTCATGGCAAGAGAAGGGCTACGGTAGCTACTATTCACGTGAATAGTGGCGGCCTTTGCAAAAAGTTGTGGTGTTTCCATCAATTGCCATGGCAATAACTATTCACATGAGATATGAGGTGACAAATTTATACACAGTTTTGGTGTGGAAAGTGAAAACTATGATTAAGTATTTATTTTAAAAAAAATCTAAATTTTTTTTTGTTGCTGACGTCATCGCTTATGTCAACAAACCCGAGCTTGAACTATGGCAGATCTTACCTGAGGGCTGGCCTGGTTTCATGGGCCCCACCTCCAGCCAGGGCTAGCCCTTGCTGCTGGAAACGTTTTTTGGCCCAAACCCCCCAGCCTGAGCTGTTGGAAGTGCTCTAATAATGTGTCCACTTAAAACACGACAAGTAGTCAAGCTTTGAGTTAAGATCTTTCTTTGAGTTTTCTAAATGTTAAAAACGAGGTTAACTATGATAACAAAGATCAATATTAAAAAATATTATAATATTATAAATAAATAAACCTATTTATATATATATTTTAGATTTAGGGTTTAGGGTTGCAACTTGAAGAAGGTATTCCCAAAAGGCCTTTTTGATGGGAGAGAGCCTGCCAAGAAGGCAGAGATGGACTGGCCCTTTTGGTAGTGGTAGTGGGCTATGGTTGAATTTACAAAAGGCCCTTCTTTCAACTAGGCTATAGAAATGATTTTTCTAGAGTTCTTTTTAATTTTTGGTGGTATCCATTGGGCTATGGCCCAGTCAAGTTCTTTTTATACATTTTGATTTATTGTTTTAAAGATATATATTTTTTTTGGGTATGAAATTTTGCTTGAAGATACTCTCTCTTTCTTAGTGCCTCGTTTTTACGGTTGAGCAAACCACCTATCCTTATACTTTATAGGTTTATTATGGTAGAGATACATGAATAACTTAATTCTAACAAGTTTGCAGCTGGATTTAATTTGTCTGGAGTAGAAAGATAGACTAACTAGTTCTTTCCTTTAATACTACTTTTGTTTCTAATTTTGAAAGTGGCCGCAAGTTCAAATCTCCAACTCATATTGAAAAAGGACAGAGAGATACAACAATATCTTAGACAAACATCTTGCACAATTTGTCATAAAAAATATCCTGGGTTGTCTCCGTTTCATGGGCCTAACAAAATTTTTAAAAAAAAAAAAAAAAAAAAAAAAAAAAAAAAAAAAAAAAAAAAAAAAAAAAAAAAAAAAAAAAAAAAAAAAAAAAAAAAAAAAAAAAAAAAAAAAAAAAAAAAAAAAAAAAAAAAAAAAAAAAAAAAAAAAAAAAAAAAAAAAAAAAAAAAAAAAAAAAAAAAAAAAAAAAAAAAAAAAAAAAAAAAAAAAAAAAAAAAAAAAAAAAAAAAAAAAAAAAAAAAAAAAAAAAAAAAAAAAAAAAAAAAAAAAAAAAAAAAAAAAAAAAAAAAAAAAAAAAAAAAAAAAAAAAAAAAAAAAAAAAAAAAAAAAAAAAAAAAAAAAAAAAAAAAAAAAAAAAAAAAAAAAAAAAAAAAAAAAAAAAAAAAAAAAAAAAAAAAAAAAAAAAGCGCAAGTATGCAAAAAACAAATTCACAACTTGCTCCATACTTAACTCATTTTCTAGAGTACCAAACCTCTTAAGCTCAACTTGCTACCCAAACGTCAAATTCAATAACTAATATAACCCATTCAATATTCATATATAAGTATTACCTAATAAGTATTACAATTTACACATGATTATTACATTAAGATGGCCAATGACAGGAGAACAATATAAACTGAGTAAGATCAATGATCCTAACAACTTGCATAAGTGGTGCATTGGGTATGCTCGCCTCAGAAATCAAATTGTGGGTAATAATTCCTCATTATTCTAGTCTCACGGTTATACTAATTTACATATATTCTTTGAAGGCGTATAGCTGCACCATTAATGATTGGCAAGTGGCGAATTTTGTTGGTTTGTCAGGTCTTTTGGAAGAGCTCCGGGAGAGTTGTAAGTTACAACGTTCCATTGACAGGAAGCCACTCACCTTCCATGCATCAGCCAACCATCTAACATCATAGGTTCGTTCTTCTTCGCAGATGCCGTATTTCAATCTCAGAATCTTGTTCATTATCACACTTGTTACTGGGACGGGCTTAATTTCAAAGAGTCCTTTGTTTTTGTGTTCGTTTTTAATTTCAGGTGCTTTATCAGTGCCACTCCCGGGTGTTGGCCTCTGATTCTCCACTGCTTTTCTGCTTTCTGAAAGTGATGTTGACCCTCAATTCCCTTGTCATTAGATTGGTAACAGACCATATTCATTAGATGTTTCTGGAAATAGTTAAGTGAAACCTTACCTTTACCTTCATCATGTCTCTTTTCTGCCCTGTTTTCTATGCAACGCCTTGTATTATGAAGAGCTGGGGTTTTGCGGCTGCTGTACCTACCAGACCTCAGAGAGATAATCTTCTGACTATAGTGGATGCTGGAGATCGTAGCGTGAAGGTGAGGAATTCAACATATAAATGAGGATTTGTGGGTTTCGACTAAATTGTAGACATTACCAAGAGAAATGATAAGTAGAACTGTGACCATCCAGTTGGCCGAACATGCACGTTGAAGGCAACTCCTATCTTATGCCTAGCATGACGGCATTGGCTGAAAGAGTCAATGCCAGATCATAATCTATAATGGGGCATGTCCAGTGTTGGTGCCTAGGCTCAATTGAAGTACCTGGTTGAACCTGCAGCACCCATATCATCCTGCATGACCATAGGATGGCAACAGTACTTCGTTCTTCCAAATGAATACCTTATGATTAATACCAAGTTAAAATAAATTAGATTAAAGGAAGTATTGATTACTACACTTAGAATGGCAGTGGAAGACTTGGATCAAAACAAGTGATCACGTGACAAGCCTACTGCATACCACCCCCACCACCTCTCCACACTACCCAATGCGGACCCAGAGAATCCAACTAGTTGAGGCCAATTAACTACAATTTTCCAACCAACTTGACTCCTTAACACCAAAATACCTTAATGCTGTCAGCTTCAAGAATATTATGCACAAGGGCGATAGGGGGAAACATAAACATGTGTGAGTCATGTGGCAGAAATAAATACGACGAAGCTTCTTTGGTGTGGTCTGGTCGATGTGCCAAAATATGCAGACACAGCACGAGTAACAACGCTTAGACTTCAAGTGATCTGGTCCGCCGTGTGGAGTAAGTTATCTCTCTCTCTCTCTAATATCACGTGAATAGTAATGTGCGTCGGTGGGTGCGGCGTGTGTAGATCGCCAGTCTGTAACACGAAGATCATGTGATGGGTAGAGTGGTTCAAGGTAAGACAGAGGTAGCAAGCTTGGTGTGTCAGAAGTTGTGAGCTGATCTTTGTCTGCACAAAGTTCAGATACGTTCAAATCATGGTGAGTACACCAAAAGGTGTATTGGGATACAGTGTAAAAACGGCCTTCGATCATCTCTTCTAATGTCTACAGAGTTCGTCGTTCGGACAATCTCTATAATCTAGGAGTTTACCAAGGTGTCCTCTACATGACCGCGATGGGAGAACACCATACGTTTTGTCCCGTAGTACTATCAGGAGTAGGGTGGCCTATAGGAGGCGGCGTGGCGCTAGGAGCGCGCTAGGCGGGGGGCTTAGCCGGTGCTGACATTAGCATGTAGCGTCTAGCGTTGCAATCCGCCAGCGTATGCGAATATGCGAAACAGTCTGGTGATCAATGCGGAGAAAACAGGATCATTTCGTGTGTGACTCCCCTAGATGTTCTGGGACGAGATGACGCTAGGTTGAGTACAGTGATGCCAGCGAGAGAGATCCCAGGATGCGAGGAGCAAATTTGACGCAATCGAAGCGATAGGTAACGAATTGCGGTAGGAGTGATGTGTGGTTAGGTTGATTTTGGGGAAGGGCCTGGAACAGGAGAGAAGGGCTTGGCTCTTCATACATACAACATTAAAGAGGAGTCAGGAATTTTTGCCTGTATAAACTCACTAGTAACCACTAAGGTATTAACAAACTCTAACAATTAAATAAGTCCCATACACAAATTGCTGTACGCACGCTACGAATCAGACAGGATTTTTCCTTTTCTGGTTCTCATACTTCTTGTAATAAAAATTCATTGTTTGAAGAAAGGAAGGAAGACAAAAGGAAAGAGGGGGAGGTCGTGGGAGGAAGACAAACCGCAAGAAAGTTAAAAGGTGGAGCTAGGCGCAAAGCACAGTATATGCGTCACTCGAGTATGTAAATTGCATGGTCCTAGTTCATATCTCGGTTGCCATAGTGTGCAGCTTGCACAGACGGGCATCTACCAAAAGGTAAGAGAATAAGTGATCAAGGGATAAGAGTTCAGAATGAGAGGCTGTCCGATTTCCACTCCAAACATAAATCATATGTGAGGACAGGGCCAATGGCCGTCCAGGCTGATGAGAATTTCATACTAGATTGCATGTGCAGGCCAGCGAGTTCACCTAGCAAACGGAGAGGAGCAGGAGCTATAAAGCGAGTAAGTACCTCTTTTCGTCATTGCATGGATTAGTTATACCATGCTCCGTTGTAAATAAGCGACTAAAGGGGGTCGGGGGATGCGAGTGATTAGTTATCATATGGTAGAAAGTTGCACGTGCAGATAATGTGTGGAAATGTGTGTAGTCAGATTACCTATAACTAGGTTGTTATACGGGCTAAATGAAATTTCGTGTTTGAGGTTTCTTGTTTGTTTAGAATTGGCAGTCTTGCATGCATGGGTCATTTTCGATGGGCAAGCACACGGAATTGCATACATTATATTGGGTTTTTGCCCAGTTAGTTTCACATTGATGTGCCCATTTTTTTCCCAGACATGATCCCATTGGTATTGGATAACAAACACAAGCACTTACGTTTTGGCATGCAGTGGCATACCAAATGCACAAAACGTAGTGGGATACGGGAACCAAGGTCCGCAAAAAGGAGGTGTCCAAAATGCCTTCCCCACACTAAACCTCCCAATTCTGGGGGACTTTGTCGGGATTGTCTATTGATGGAGGTGAAACCTGACTGGTCGTAGCTGGGCTAAAGATCAAACGTATCAGCTGAGGCTCAGGTCCGGGTGGTTCTCGTCTATGAGCTCGAGATCAATGACCCACGGCTGGGGTGCGGCTTTGGGAGGACAGGGAATTCGTCCGGAGTATGGTGCAAATAACTTTGTTTAGAGTTTCAACTGTCACCTTGTTGTTTTTTGTTTTTTTTAACAGTCAAAAATTTTGTTCAGGACTGAAATATTGGGTTGTACGCAGCAGCTGGATTCAAGCAGAAGACATAGGGCAGGCCTATTGTATCAATTCGGTGCGTTGTTGTTTGTAGGTTACGGAGTAGTTAGTGGACACAACTTGTGTCAGTGAGGCAATATGGATAATTGGAAGAAATTTCAAACCCATGGCATTATCGATAGTGATCGCATAATGATCCTCCCTCAATAACCATATAAGCTTCATACAGCCAGAACCTTAAACCGGGCTGTATAATATAAGATTGATATGTAGCTGTCTACTTAAAAAAAGACGATCAACTACATCCGAGTTGTATGTATATTGGCCGACGTTCGAATACTTGGGAAAGGGAGTTGCGTAGGCAAGAACCGAAGGTATCTAAACCATAATATTCCCCTCAACAAGAGCCTGAGTAACTGACTAGGACTGAAAGTGCCTAACGTGAAGGAGGAATGGGTAAAGTTGAAGTTTGTCGCTTTGCATTCGACTCGATTTATTACAGTCACCTCATAATTGTCTCCTTTTTTTAGATGAAAGACATAAGGAGGAGACCGATTGTGTTAAGATCCTGCGTAAGTGGCTTTGTAATTGATTATTATACTTAAATATCTTCTGTGTTTTGAAAAAATAATATAGAAAAGCCCCTCAGTATAAGACCAATCGGGGGGTGGGGGGCGGCGGAGCCAGTGGCGACTGCGCATAGCCCTCTGAAGCTAAAGTGAAGTTCTCCAAATTTGAAAACTAATTGCGTTTTTAAAAAACGAGTCCGTGATAATGTTTCGTATGATTATGGTTTATTTGGAAAAACCCGAGGTTATAGCTGGCGAGCCTCATTAGAGACTGCTCTCGGTGTTAGTCTTTAGTGAAAAGATATTATAACCCCCATTATAGCTGCCGGATGAGTCTAATAAGATTTTCCTACATTTTTCCAAATATTCAAGAAATCTTGACGTTATCAGAAGGACAGGAAAGTGGTGAAGACAATCCATTCGAGCAGGCTTATGCAAATGTGACAAAAAATAGTTCAATGTTTGCTGTTAAAAGTGCATATTGTGATGGCGCCGAGATGTGCTTACTGTGATGTTTCCTAAAACGATTAAGCGCAACTATAGAAGATTGATGTGCTTTTCTTTTGAGTTAGGTAGACATCAAAGAGAAGTGGAACCTCGGGGTGAGTAAAGGGTGACCAGAGAATATCAACCTATACAAAAACTATCAAATATCTCAGATACTCAAAGAATAACAAAACAATATGAAGTTCAAGAAGATAACAAATCGTAAGATAGAGAGCGGGACAAATTGTGAAAGATAAGGACTATCCAGCAAAAGGCCATACAAACAACACCGTAAAAAAAGAAAACAATAGCCAAATACCATACGAACGAACAAAAAGGCTTTGAAAAATAACACACAACACAAACGACCACAAATCAACTATCCCAGCAGAGCAAAAAAGGGGGGAACGAAGAGAAAGCCCATCAAATAAATCTATAGACGAGGCATTACCAAATTTAATAATTCCTAAGCCTCAAATTGAAGTATACAGTTGAAACTGAAGCACCCATTATCATACCTGCATGACCAATAGGATGGCATATAGTTCTTTAATTCTGTCTAAACTGAATACATTAAGATTAAGTTACAAGTTAAAAGAAAAGATTAATAAGAAAGGTGATTACTAACACTTGGAAATGGCAGTGGAAGACTTGGGATCAAAACCAATGATCAAGGAATTTTGAATCCAAACCTCTTCAGTGATTTTTCCTTGCCAAGGATTTCTTGACAAGATTTTCTGACTGACAAAAAGAATAGAGTGAATTTTGTCTTGCGTTGAACTATACCTAAGGAATTCCCAATTCAAGAAAAAGGGGTCCCCAAGAAGAAACCGCCTCCCAGCCCAAGTAGGCTACCCATCATACCAGCTACTATCCCACAGCTGCAGTACGGAAAAATCTGATGCAACTTCCAGTTTGTGATTTCCTTTCCTTTGGACGCAATCACCCTGGTCCTTTGCATAAGAATTTGGCTTCAAAGAGCGTAACGGAGACTGCAAATGGTACCTACGAAATGATAATATTTATGTTCAACTGGACATCATTCTTTTTATGTATGCTTGAGTGTATATAGTTATGTGTTTCTATAGTGTCCGTGAAAGAAATCTTACTACTCTGGTTGTTAACTTTACCTGCAAGGAGTTCAGGACCCAATAATTCAGTAACAAAAGTTAAAATCATGGTGCTTTGGAAGCAAATGCAGAGGTATTAGAAAGATGGAACTTGATTGCATTGCAAGTGATGATCGTATCTTTTGGAGAGCATTTTAAGGTCCGGTATGCGAATATATGAGTTCCTAGAAAAGCTTCTTTGGTTGTACAGAACTACAGAGTAAAATAACTTACCTTAACAATCTGAACAATAAGAAAAGCCACCCAGACATACACAATCATCAATAACTCCTTCCAGTAAACATTGTCGTCGTTGTGTGATATAGGCACCTGGATAGAGTTGTTCATCATATCAATAAAACAAAAACTGAAACCACTTAAAATTGCAGATAACAAGGAAGTTGCAAAAGAATACAGGCTTAGAAGTTCTGATATTCTTGGAACTTACCTGCTCATCTGGCAATGAAGCTGGACCACTGGGTAGCAGTTTATAGTCTTCTCCAGAACCATCCGCACAGCTCAATACTATCTCTTTTAAAAAAAATAAAAAAATAAAAAAAACGAGTTTAACCGCACGACTATACCGTTTATATATGTATTGTTAGCTCAAGTGCAAAAAAAAAAATTCACAACTTGCTCCATACTCAACTCATTTTCTAGAGTACCAAACCATCTTAAAGCTCAACTTGCTACAAAACTTCAAATTTCAATAACTAATATAACCCAATTCAAATATTCAAATAATTATTACCTAATTAGAGTATTACAATTTACACATGAGTATTAAAATTAAAGATGGCCAATGATAGGAGAACAATATAAAAATGAGTCACAGATCATGATCCTAAACAGCTTGAATAAGTGGATGCATTGGGTATGCTCGGCCTCGGAAATCAAGATTGTGGGGATAATAATTCCTCATATATTATAGTCTCACGGTTATACTATTTAAATATATTATTTGAAGGCGTATAGCTGCGCGATTAATGTAATAGGTGGGCAGATTTCTGTTGTTCAAGGTCTTTTGGAAGAGCTGCCTGGAGAGTTTTTAAGTTACATGCGTTCCATGGACATGAAGCCACTCACCTTCCATGCAGCAAGCCAACCATCTACATCATAGGTTCGTTCTTCTTCGCAGATGCAGTAGTTCAATCTCAAGAATCTGTTCATTATCAAACATGTTACCAAGGACTAATTTCAAAGTGCTTTTTGTTTTTGTTTTCGTTTTTAATTTCATATATAGTGCTTTATCAGTGCCTCACCGAAGGTTTGGACTCTGATTCCAACTGCTTTTCTGCTTCCTGAAAGTGATGTGAAACCTCAAATTCCTTGTCATTAGATTGGTAACAGACCATATTCACTGATAGTTCAGGAAACAGTTAAGTGAAAACCTTACCTTCTTCATCATTGTCTCTTTCTTCCATGTTTCTATGCCCTTCATTAAAGCTTTTGCTGCTGTAACTGCCAGAACTCAGAAGAAAATCTTATAAGATTATTCAGAGTATTCAAAGTAAATGAGGAATTTGTGTTCAAAAATGTTATTACCTAAGAAGAGAATGATAAGTAGAACTGTGACCATCCAGTTGGCGAACATGACGTTGAAGGCAACTCCTATGCTGATGCCCAGCATGAGCATTGGCTGAAAGAGCAATGCCAGATCATAATCTCTAAAGGGGCATGTCCAGTGTTGGGTGCCTAAGTCTCAAATTGAAGTATACTGTTGAACCTGCAGCACCCATTATCATACCTGCATGACCAATAGGATGGCATACAGTTCTTCAGTTCTGTCTAAATTGAATACATTAAGATTAAATTAACAAGTTAAAAGAAAAGATTAAAAGGAAAAGTAGTGATTACTGACACTTAGAAATGGCAGTGGAAGACTTGGGATCAAAACCAATGATCAAGGCAAGCATTGCCTCCACCCCCAACACCTCCCACACTACCCAATGCTGCACCAGAGAATCCAACTATTGAGCCAATTAACTACAATTTTCCAACCAAACTTGATCTCCCGAACAACCAAAATACATATGTCAAAGTCAAAATACCACAACAGTAAACATGAAAGGAAGAATCATAAAATCTTATTGGAAAAAGTCAAAATACCCTAAAATTAGACGTAAAAGTTATATCCCCTTTATGTTCTCGCTCTCTCTCTCCTCTCTCTCTCTCCTCCTCTCTCTCTCTCTCTCTATGCGTGTGTGTGTTCTTGCTGGAGATGCATTAACTACGGTGTTTAAGGGAGATCAAACTCACTGGTGGAGCAAGTTTGAGTATATGTCTGCACAAAGTTCAGATACAGTTAAAATCATGGTGCTAGTAAACCAAAAGGTTGTAGGAACAATGTAAGCATCATCTCTTTCTTTTCCAATTCTCGGAAATCTTCTTTAAAAGTTAAATCCTTGAACACACTGTCACGTATATCTGAATAAATGGCCTAGGCGGGCGCTAGGCGGGCGCTAGGCGGGCTAGGCGGGGGCTAGGCGGTCTAGGCGGGCTAGGCGGGGGCTAGGCGGTCTAGGCGGGCGCTAGGCAGGCGCTAGGCGGTCTAGGCAGAAGCTGGCGCCTAGAAGAAAGAAAAGGTCATTTCGGAACTCCAAGGTCTGGGACGAGATGACAATGGTGATATGAGGCGAGAGAGAGAGACGACGATGAGATTGAAGAAGACGAGAGGTTGCGTGTTATGTTTAGGGTTTAGAAAAGGGCCTGGACAAGAGAGAAGGGCCTGGGCTTCATAAAATACAACATTAAATGAATTTTGCATTATAAAATCACTAAAGTAACCACTAATAAGTAACAAATAACAATTAAATATCCAATACACAAAATTGCTTACACAACTCGAATCAGCAGTATTTTTCCTTTTCTGTCTCATACTTCTTGTAATAAAAATTCATTGTTTCAGGTGAAGGAAAACGAATAAAGTTAATGCTCAGCCTCATAGCTATTTGTTTTATCAGTATCTCGGTTGCCATAGTGTTCAGCTTGCACAGACTGCAATCTAACCAAAAAGGTAAGAGAATGAAGTGATCAAGGGATAAAAGAGTTCAAGAATGAGATGCTGTCGATTTCCAAACTCCAACATAAAAATCTTGTGAGGATCATGGCATGCTCCGTCCAGGATGATGAGAATTTACTAATTTACGAGTTCATGCCAAACGGAAGCTTGGATCCTCTTCTATTCAGTTAGTTTCATTACTCTTTGTTACCTAGTGATGGTCAATTTTTTCATTGTGAAGTGCACGGGATTGGGATGTATTAATGACATTACTGTTATACTGGCTAGAATGAAATTTCGTGTTGATGTTTCTTGTTTGTTTTAGAATTGTCAGTCTTGCATATGCATGGGTCAAGTTTCAGATTGGCAAGCACACGGAATTGCATACAATATATTGGATTTTTGCCTCAGTTTAGTTGCACATTGATGTGCCCATTTTTTTCACAAACATGATCCAATTGGTATTTGGCAAACACAAGCAACATATACAAGTTTTGGCATGCAGGTGGCATACCAAATTCACAAAACGTAAGTGGGGATAAAGGGAACCAAGGTCCCAAAAAGGAGTTGTCCAAAAGATGCAATTCCCCCACACAAAACTCCCATCTGGGGACTTGGGGGATTTCTATTTGTGAGGTAAAATACCTCTTGGTCGAGAGCTGAGCTCAGGTCCAGGTGGTTAGGTTGAGCTCGATATCAATGGACAGGCTGGGCTGAGCTTTGGGCGGGATGTCTCCGGAGTATGAGTGCATGATAACTTTTTTGGAGTTACAACTGTTCACCTTTTTGTTTTTTTTTAAATAAAAAATTTCAGAGAAATATTTGTCACAATGAGTCTAGCATAAGGAACAGGGCAGGAGATTGTATAAATTTCAGTTTGTGTTTAGGTTTAAAGTATTAATACAACAACATGTTGAGGCAATATGGAGAATTGGAGAAAATTTCAAACCACACCATTTATAATATGATTCATATTCCTCCTCAAATAAAAATATAATCTATATCATAAAACATATAATTTTTTCTTTTATTAAAAAAAACATAAACTACATCTGACTGTATATATAGCCAGTCAATGAATTGGAAATTGCGTAGGCAAGAACCTAAGGTATATAAACCATAATATCCCCTCAACAAGATCCTTGATTAACTGACCTAGGAGAAAAGTATCCTAAACGTGAAGGGAATGGTAAAAGTGAAAGTTTATCGCTTTCATTCGACTTGTTGTTTACAGTCGCCTCATAATTGTCTTCCTGTTTTTTAGAATGAAGGACAAGGGAGAATTGTGGATGATCCTGCAAAAAACATAAATCATGTGTAAAGTGCTTTGTAAATTGATCAATTATAAATTAAATATCTAATGTGTTTTGAAAAAAATAATAATAGAAAACCCCAGTATAGACACGCGGCTATACTATTTCTTTTTCAAAAAATTAGAAAAACCAAGTATAGCCGCGCGGCTATACTAATTTTTTAAAAAACGGAGACTATATATATTCTTAAATTTTTTTTAAAACGCGAGTATCGCCGTGCGGCTATACGATTTATTTTTTAAAAAAATAGAAACCCGTAGTATAGTCGCCCGGCTACACTATTTCTTTAAAAAAAAAAAAACTAATTATAGCCGCCTTACTATACTATTTCTTTTAAAAAAATTTGAAAAACCAAGTATAGCCGCGGTGCTATACTTTTTTTTTTTTTTATTTAAAGGAAAACAGAAGTATAGCCGCGCGGTTATACAATTTTTTGGGGTGAATATATCCCTTCGGCTGTACTATGTTTTTTTTTGTTTAATTTTTTTTAATAAAAAACTGTAGCCGGTCGGCTATACTCGGTTTTTTTAACTTTTTTAAAAATAGCATAGCCGTTTTTGACACGTGGGCGTCTAATCGATAGACGGGTCCTTTTTTATTTAAATAAATAGTATAGCCAATCGGCTATACGCGTGGTTTTTATTCATGTTTCTCACAATAGTATGCCCAGACATGATCAAACAAACTATGGTGCAACTAACCATAATCAGCTCAATGATATTCCTCCTAATGTATGTGTGGATCTATTTGGCAGTTGATAATCACTTTCCCCCCTCCTTTTTTCCTAATCTAGAAGATGAAATTGCAGGACGTATCTACACCATCTTCTGGAAAACCAAAAGCCAAGAAAAAGATAGTGATGTCGTTATGTCATCAGTCGGACCAGATCAGACTGCAATTCAAGGTTGTTATTGGGTTTTAGAACTCTCTCTCTCTCTCTCTCTCTCTCTCTCTCTCTCTCTCAAGCGTGATCTCACATTTTTACTTTCAGTATTCATGTGAATGACTTATTTTGCAAAATCTTAGTTAGACTGCCAATGTCGGTGGAGGATATCTGCGGTAGAGCTGAAATTTTCAGTGATGATCGGGAAGAAGCTGAGTGGTTATCTATGCCTCTTTCTCATCTTAGAGTGCTTGCAAATGAAATAATGTCTCTTCGAGCAAAGGGGCATCTACATTTGGCCCCTGTAGATTCTTTTGTTAGATTGTTAAGGATTTTAGATCATCAGATACATCGAGCTGAAGGCTTGTCTATAAGTACATGTGAGCAGGTGAGCTTGTTTTATGTCCTGCATTCTTTCTTGCATATAGCATAGCTGTTGTGGTAGTTTGCTTCTTAAACTACATTTCTTCAGGCTTTTGTGCTATTCTTCTTGTTTATATTTTCATTGAAAGTTTGTGCTATTTTTAGTTTTGCTTCTCCATGATTTTTTTTTTGGGGGGGTCTGATTTTAGAATCTCCATGCAAGTAATGATGTTACTGAGTTGCCTTGCAATATATTGATTGTTTTAAATTTCATCTTATAATGGTCTTGTTATCTCAATCACTGTTTGTCTGACTCCATTTTTTAATTTCTTTTTCCTGAAATTAATAGTATAGCCGGGCGGCGATAATTCCTTTTTAAAAAATTTTATTCCAATGAGTAGTATAGCCGATCGGCTATACGTTTCAAATATAAAAATTAGGTCAGATATCTTCTTCTTTCCAGCGTCGCCTTCTCCTTCCTCTCTCTGTATCGATCTCTCTCTCTCTCTCTCTCTCTCTCTCCCTCCCTCTTTCTTCCTAACAAGCAGCGGATCCTGCGCACTTCAACCGCCTTCGTCCACGCCTCAATGGCAAAACGCCCGCCCAGACTCTCCTAGGGCCGCCTAGAGCCGCCTAGACCTTCCTACAGCTGCCTAGGCCGCCTAGAGCCGCCTAGACCTTCCTACAGCCGCCTAGGCCGCCTAGAGCCGCCTAGAGCCGCCTAGACCTTCCTACAGCCTCCTAGGCCGCCTAGAGGCCGCCTAGGCCACCTAGGCGGGAGCCCAGACGCCGATTAGCTCCCTGGCGCCTACCCCTGGATGCCACATCCTGGAAGGGTACCTCTTGGTGTACTGGAACTGACGTAAGTTAGTTCGAAATTTAAAGATAATGAGCTTTTGGTTGGCGTGGAATTAGGATTACACTGTTTTCACAGTCATGTGGCAGGTCACTAGTGAATCAACCTTCCTAATCTGATGATCTTGTACTGAAATACTAACTAATAGGGTGCATGCAACCTTAGGCCATTTCACTTGATTTTGTTCCATCTCCTGCATTGAACCTAATCCCTTCTTAACTTTGTGGTTCCATTGTTTCCATCGTAAAGCTATGCATGTTGTACAGGTTTCATCTCTTGTTGTGGTACAAGGATGATCCAAAATCACAGCAGAAGTTCATGTACTATCTTGCTAGACTGAAATCAAAACAAGTAGTGCTGGATTCTGGGACTGTTTTTTCATTATTGACAAGGGATTCAATCAAGAAGATTACTTTAGCATTGGGACAAAAAAAAAACTCTTTTTCCAGAGGGTTGGATAAGATTCTTCATTTGCTTCTGGTTAGTAAGCCTTTTCATTTACTCCCTGATTTATTGTATAATAAAATCTCTATTTTGACAATTTAGTTGATTGCAGACAAGTTTAATGGAGAATTCACAAGTCGGGTTCATCAACTTGGCCAATAGGCAGCTCAGCTCTCACATGGTTGCAAGGATTCTGGATTTCCTCATAATTTCATCTACACAAGTAGAATATAATAATAATAATATGCTGAACAAAACAGTGAAATCCCTCACAAGAAACTGTAAGAACAAACAGCATCAAAAACAGAAGAAAAAACCAAAAAGATGACCAAGCCTTAAGCAGCAGGCGCCACTGATTCTTTCCTTGATATGTAGAGTAGGAAAGTAGGAAAAGTTTCTAACCAAGAAGCATATCCTTGATGGAATGTAATTCAGATGCAACATCACTGATATCCTTTCGGTTCGCTGGGGATTCAACAGAACATGCAATTCCAAGTTTAAATATCAATCTCTGTGACACGATCGGGAAAAGCAGTCTTCACAAAATTATGAAGGTTCAAGCCATCACTAAACAAGTGGTCAGTGGGTCTCCTTCCCGTAAACATCTCTAACAAAAGAATGCCAAAGCTGTAGACATCTCCACTTTTCGACACTTCACTTCCCATACTCTGTAGTTGAAGTATCAGAAAATATTGTCACCACAATTCTAAATAAAATGGCTCTCTTAAATTATGCAACAAAGTAAGAGTAACTGATTATGTGCGTGGAAATGAGGGCATGGAACTGTCTATGCAAATGATCAATTAATTGTAATTAGAACCAAGTTAAAAGATAAAGAAAGGCAACAGTGAAGTATACAGGAATATTTACCTGGAGCAACATAGCCAACCGATCCCTTTATGCCAATGGAACTTGCTTGATTTGCTGAAGCCTTATCGGCTAATTTTGCAAGGAATCTTGCAAGTCCAAAGTCAGAAACATGTCCAGTCAACTCTGCGTCCAAGAGAACATTGCTTGGCTTGAGATCACAATGGACTATTGGTGTTTCGCAATCGTTATGAAGAAAATCAAGTGCACAAGCAATGTCAATGGTGATGTCTAGCCTCTGAAGAAGATTTAAATTCTGGGGTGCATCTGTTTCCTCTTTCGTTTCAATAGTCGAATGCAACCACTTTTCTAAGCTCCCATTGTCCATTAACTCATACACGAGAGCCTTGAAATCATTACCTTGATAATCAACAGTTGAACATGCAGTTATAATCTTGACGAGATTTCGATGCCTGATATTTCTTGACGCCTCACATTTCGCCAAGAAACTCTTAGATGCTCCATGATGTAACATGTTAATAAACACCTTGATGGCAACAAGCTGAGCTCCATCAAAATCAAGGACTCCTTTATACACAGACCCAAAACTAGCCACACCAATCAAAATCAACAAGCTGATCTTCATACTTGCATATCTATACTGACTACGGAGGGTTGAAATTACCACCACCACCACCACACACATGGCTTTTTTTTTCACAATATCCATGGCATTCACCCTCTTTCCGATAATCCATGTTAAAAGAGTACAGCCGTGCGGTTATACTCCTTTTTTTTTTTCCTGAAATTAATAGTATAGCCGGGCGGCGATAATCCCCCTTTAAAAAAAATTATTCCAATGAATAGTATAGCCGGGCGGCGATACTGTTCAGATATAATATATAAAAATAGTATGGCCGGGCCTTTATACTCCTTGTTTTTCCGTTCAAATTGATAGTTTAGCCGAGCGGCTATACTTTTCGAATATAAAAATTAGGCAGATATCCTCTTCTTCCCAGCGTCGCCTTCTCCTTCCTCTCTCTCTCTCTCTCTCTCGTCTTTCTTCCTAACAAGCAGCGGATCCTGCGCACTTCAACCGCCCTTCGTCCATGCCTCAACGGCAAAACGCCCGCCCAGACCCTCCTAGGGCCGCCTAGACCCGCCTAGAGCCGCCTAGGGCCTCCTAGAGCCGCCTAGGGCAGCCTAGGGAGTAAGAGAATATGAAGTTCCGAATCGACGTTGGCACTGTCAGATATGCCTCTGCAGGAAGCAACTTCTTGTTTTACAATCTTTCTGTAGGTCACAATGCAAAGATGATGGGACAAAAGATCGTAATCGTTCAGGAAGAAACACTGAAGTTGCTTTTTCAATTACAAAACTTGAGGTTGTCCAGCAGATGCTTTTGAATTACCTTCAAGATGCCGCATGAGCTGATTTTGGGCATCTCTTTGTTCGCTGGTATGTACTCACTGAACCTCATCCCTTCTTCACTTTGTGGTTCCATTGTTTCCATCATAAAGCTATGCATGTGGTACAGGTTTCATCTCTTGTTGTGGTACAAGGATGATCCAAAATCACAGCAGAAGTTCTTGTACTATCTTGCTAGACTGAAATCAAAAGAAGTAGTGCTGGATTCTGGGACTGTTTTTTCATTATTGACAAGGGATTCAGTCAAGAAGATTTAGCATTTAGGCAAAAAAAAAAAAAAAAAAAAAAAAAAAAAAACTCTTTTCCAGAGGGTTTGATAAGATTCTTCATTTGCTTCTGGTTAGTAAGCCTTTCATTTACTCCCTGATTTATTATATAATAAAATCTCTATTTTGACAATTTAGTTTATTGCAGACAAGTTTAATGGAGAATTCACCTGTAATTAGGGCCAAGGCTTTATGAGCGGTAAGCGAAAAAATATATTTTTGGACTTTTAATCCTTGAAATGGAAATTGAGAATTCATTTTATGGCTCTGTTGGCAGAATTTAATGTCTTAATATCTTAATATGTTGAGCAGGTCAGTATAATTGTAGAAGCTGATCCGCATGTGCAAGTGCTTACTGGAAAGGATATTGCAGGATAAGCATAAAAATTTGTTTGTCCTTGGCTAGGTCGCAGTTTTTATTCTTTTCCTCTTCCACAGGATATTGTTTGCAAGACAGTTTATGAGTTCTGGTTTGAGGAACCTACTGGTTCACAAACTCAGTTCTTTGGAGATGGTAGCTCTGTTCCATTGGAGGTGGCTAAAAACACTGAACAGATTGTTGAGATGTTGAGGAGGATGCCAAGTCATCAACTTCTTGTGACGGTCATTAAAAGCAACTTAGCCCTTGATTTTTTTCCCCAATCAGTTAAAGCTACCTGTCTCACTTGCATCTGTACGCAAGCGCTGTGAGTTAATGTGCAAGTGCTTACTGGAAAGGATATTGCAGGTATTTTCCCCCCATCTTCTTGACTTGCCAAAACAATTTGGTTGATATTTAAATCTGAATGTTCAGAAAATCTTATTTGTCAGTTAGAGGAAATGGCTATGCAGGAAGGAGAGAGGCGGACGCTTCCATATGTGCTAGCTTTGCACGCATTAATTCTGTGTTGTGGATCCAACACTCTGTGCACCAGCTTCTGACCCTTCCCAGTTTGTGGTCACTCTTCAAATTATATCAATTCCTAGTATAACCGATACTAGGAATTTTTTTAATAAAAAATAGTATAGCCGCCCGGCAAATTTTTCAAAAAAATAGTATAGTCAGGCGGCTATACTCGTTTTGTAAATTTAAAAAAAATATATTATAGCCGAGCGGATATACTTGTTTCACTGGACGCTGGACGGGGTTTTTTTATAAAAGAAATAGTATAGCCGGGGGCTATACTCTTAGAAATTGTATAGCCGCTCGGCTCTACCATTTTTTGACACGTGGGTAACTCGCGCTATGAGGCTGCTCTTTTTTTAAATAGTATAGCCGCACGGCTATACTCCATTTTTGTATGGCCTGTCGGCTTTACTAGGTTTTTTTTTTGGTTTTTCATGAGTAAAGCTATTGTTTCTTTTTATTAATTAAATAATCTCTTAGCCTTATTTAATTACTTTAATTAATAATTATTTCTTTAGTGAATAATTAGTAGCAATATAAGGGGAAATTACGGAAGAAAATGACAGAAAACCCGACAAACCTTGCAAGATTTATATGGAAACAGGAAAGTCAGAAGGATCACCCCGCCTCGGTGGATCATATGCATTCCTTCAGCAAAACAATAAACATGCCGTCTAGTTTACAGTCTCTGTTTAAATATATACATTTCGAATCACTACACTACCTAACAAAAAAATACACTGCTTGCTACTCATAGTGCAAAGACCACAACTATTTTGATTGGGAATAAAAAAAGATGTTATGAGTATTCAGATACCAATATTTTTAAACTAAGAAAAAAAATTAGCAACCTTTTGGAGATGCAGGTTTATCAAGATCAAATGCCGTTCATCTCACAATCTCTACATACCCAAAATTCAAGATGGGGGTTTTGGCCGTGAGATTGATCTTAATAAACTCACTTTTTAAAAGAGAGGCAGAACCTAAATATAACATTTTTGGTTTCTTGAAAATTTAAATATGGTGTAGGACGAGGGTCCAAGTGATGGGTAATGGCGGTTCACTTGGTTTGTCTAATGTTCTTCAAAGTTCATGTGGCTGATGTTTGCTTTTAAAGTTCAGCCTGAAACTTGGTTCATAAATGTGTGTCCTGTCAAAATAGTCCTTAAACTAGAGAGGAATCAAACTATCTTCCTCGAATTACAAAATTGGGACCCAGGAAGAAATTGAAAACGAAAATTCTATTCGATCATTGACATGATTGTGGCTAGAGGAAGCAGCTAAGAGGCCCTTTTTGGAGGAGACATGTTACTGATGAGAGAAGTAGTTGTGCTGACGGTAAATATTTGTACCAGGAACGCTGTGAAATTTGAAACATAAATATTACTCTTTACCCAACTTTGGTTGTAGTAGCATCACATCAAGAAAGCACAGATACTCACCAATTGCAGTGCGGGTGGCCTCGAGAAGTTCGAACTTCTTTGTTTCCCAGTTACTTGGATTTTGGAAAACCTACTCAGTAATTTCATACAAGACAACAATCAGAAAATTCCGACAAAAACAAGAAGGGGCAAATGATTCAAATTTCTAAGTGATAATCAACAGTTGTAATAAAGAACTATCTTACCTCTAATGTTAAATTTCCTATAGCAACACAAGCAATGGAGAGAAGTATTCCAATAGATGATGCAACAATGTAAACTTTCAACAAACTCACTCGGCTGCGCCTTCGACCTTTGGCAAAATAAAAAGTTGTATAACTACAGATGCAAAAACTGAAGTGAATTGAAAGAAAAATGAAGATTAGTAACAGCTTACCTAACTCCCCAATGATCAACGAAATAGAACCAATAGCAACAGATGAAATAGCAATCACATTGGGACCTTCCCCATTTGATGTAAATAGAAATGTATGTAGGACTCCTATCAATTGAATGACTATACCGTTTATATATGTATTGTTAGCTCAAGTGCAAAAAAAAAATTCACAACTTGCTCCATACTCAACTCATTTTCTAGAGTACCAAACTTGCTACAAAACTTCAAATTTCAATAACTAATATAACCCAATTCAAATATTCAAATATAATTATTACCTAATTAGAGTATTACAATTTACACATGAGTATTAAAATTAAAGATGGCCAATGATAGGAGAACAATATAAAAATGAGTCACAGATCATGATCCTAAACAGCTTGAATAAGTGGATGCATTGGGTATGCTCGGCCTCGGAAATCAAGATTGTGGGGATAATAATTCCTCATATATTATAGTCTCACGGTTATACTATTTAAATATATTATTTGAAGGCGTATAGCTGCGCGATTAATGTAATAGGTGGGCAGATTTCTGTTGTTCAAGGTCTTTTGGAAGAGCTGCCTGGAGAGTTTTTAAGTTACATGCGTTCCATGGACATGAAGCCACTCACCTTCCATGCAGCAAGCCAACCATCTACATCATAGATTCGTTCTTCTTCGCAGATGCAGTAGTTCAATCTCAAGAATCTGTTCATTATCAAACATGTTACCAAGGACTAATTTCAAAGTGCTTTTTGTTTTGTTTTCGTTTTTAATTTCATATATAGTGCTTTATCAGTGCCTCACCGAAAGGTTTGGACTCTGATTCCAACTGCTTTTCTGCTTCCTGAAAGTGATGTGAAACCTCAAATTCCTTGTCATTAGATTGGTAACAGACCATATTCACTGATAGTTCAGGAAACAGTTAAGTGAAAACCTTACCTTCTTCATCATTGTCTCTTTCTTCCATGTTTCTATGCCCTTCATTAAAGCTTTTGCTGCTGTAACTGCCAGAACTCAGAAGAAAATCTTATAAGATTATTCAGAGTATTCAAAGTAAATGAGGAATTTGTGTTCAAAATGTTATTACCTCAGAAGAGAATGATAAGTAGAACTGTGACCATCCAGTTGGCGAACATGACGTTGAAGGCAACCCCTATGCTGATGCCCAGCATGAGCATTGGCTGAAAGAGCAATGCCAGATCATAATCTCTAAAGGGGCATGTCCAGTGTTGGGTGCCTAAGTCTCAAATTGAAGTATACTGTTGAACCTGCAGCACCCATTATCATACCTGCATGACCAATAGGATGGCATACAGTACTTCAGTTCTGTCTAAATTGAATACATTAAGAATAAATTAACAAGTTAAAAGAAAAGATTAAAAGGAAAAGTAGTGATTACTGACACTTAGAAATGGCAGTGGAAGACTTGGGATCAAACCAATGATCAAGGCAAGCATTGCCTCCACCCCCAACACCTCCCACACTACCCAATGCTGCACCAGAGAATCCAACTATTGAGCCAATTAACTACAATTTTCCAACCAAACTTGATCTCCTGAACAACCAAAATACATATGTCAAAGTCAAAATACCACAACAGTAAACATGAAAGGAAGAATCATAAAATCTTATTGGAAAAAGTCAAAATACCCTAAAATTAGACGTAAAAGTTATATCCCCTTTATGTTCTCGCTCTCTCTCTCTCTCTCTCTCTCTCTCTCTCTATGCGTGTGTGTTCTTGCTGGAGATGCATTAACTACGGTGTTTAAGGGAGATCAAACTCACTGGTGGAGCAAGTTTGAGTATATGTCTGCACAAAGTTCAGATACAGTTAAAATCATGGTGCTAGTAAACCAAAAGGTTGTAGGAATAATGTAAGCATCATCTCTTTCTTTTCCAATTCTCGGAAATCTTCTTTAAAAGTTAAATCCTTGAACACACTGTCACGTATATCTGAATAAATGGCCTAGGCAGGCGCTAGGCGGGCTAGGCGGGGGCTAGGCGGTCTAGGCGGGGGCTAGGCGGTCTAGGCGGGCGCTAGGCGGGCTAGGCGGTCTAGGCGGTCTAGGCGGGCGCTAGGCAGAAGCTGGCGCCTAGAAGAAAGAAAAGGTCATTTCGGGACTCCAAGGTCTTGGACGAGATGACAATGGTGATATGAGGCGAGAGAGAGAGACGACGATGAGATTGAAGAAGACGAGAGGTTGCGTGTTATGTTTAGGGTTTAGAAAAGGGCCTGGACAAGAGAGAAGGGCCTGGGCTTCATAAAATACAACATTAAATGAATTTTGCATTATAAAATCACTAAAGTAACCACTAATAAGTAACAAATAACAATTAAATATCCAATACACAAAATTTCAGGTATATCACGAATTCTGAGTATTGATACTACGGAGAATTCAAGAGACACTCTTCAAGAATATATCATAAACCAAGATCCATCGGAGCTATTCATCTATAATTTTGATAGCATATTGATCGCAATGAACAATATCAACATCACAAACAAACTCGGGGAAGGAGGATTTGGTCCAGTTTACGACGTTATTGTTTATTTGTTTTTCTCTTTCTAAAGGAAAATATAGTATCACACAGCTACAATAACAGATAAGGACATGAATGAAGTGATTAATTTGTAGGTACCCTAAAAGAAGGGAAGGAAATAGCAGTAAAAGGAATATCTAGTAGATCAGGGCAAGGCATAGAAGAGTTGGGGATTGCTAGAGGGCTTCTTTATCTCCACCATGAGTCTTATTTGAAAGTAATTCATAGAGATTTGAAGGTCAGTAATATTCTCTTGGATGACCAAATGAACCCAAAAATTTCAGATTTTGGATTGGCACGTATCATTCAAGGGACACATAATATAACAATTACTCATAAGGTTGTGGGAACGCTGTAAGCGTCATTCCTTTTCCTATTCTTGGAAGAACATCAAAACTTAAATATCAATGTTCAGCATATTGCCATTCATATCAATATATTAGTGAATTTATATGGAAGCAGCAGAGAATCAGAGATGACATGTAGGAAATCTGGCTGTACCATTCATTTTATTTGGAACCCTGCAATCTTAACTGAAATATTAGTTGCATGTCATTAAGATATAATTTCGGTGGCACTTTTCTTAAGACCAGAAACAAAAGAAATACTGTCAGTTAATAGTAATACGAATGAAATTCCTTTGCAGTGGCTATATGTCTCCGGAGTATGCCATGGGCAGGATATTTTCTGAAAAATCTGATGTCTATAGCTTCGGGGTCTTGATATTGGAGATTATTAGCAGCAGGAAGAATACCAGCTTCTATTACTATGAACAACTTCTAGGTTTCCTACCTTATGTAAGTTCACACTCTAAATCTTATAAATTGTTAAACAATCTATATGAAGCTAAATACATATATATGAAATTCTGTCAGGCATGGCACTCATGGAATGAAGGCAGGGGATTGGAGTTGGTTGATGAAATATTGGCAGATTCATATTCCTCATCAGAAGTGATGAGATGTTACGCATTGGCTTCTTTGTGTACAAGACAATATTGCAGAGAGGCAAACCATGCTAGATGTAGTAGCATTATTTTCTCAGCAAATGAAGCTACCATAACAATGATTGAAGGACGATAAGCAATATCAAATTTTTGCATTACAAATGTAATGACCTTTGTCCAAAAATAAAATTTAATGACCTTTGGTTATTCTGAAGTGTTCCTTCTCCATCAAGAAACTGATTATTCAATTCAATATTTAAGTTGGGTTGGGTTCTAATTGAAGGTCAATCTAATTGGATTTGAAATTTTGAAAAACCAATTCATATTGATATGGAATCAGATTGAGTTCTAATATTCAATGGTTACAAACAACCAGGTGTTTAAATTAGTGCATTTCGTACTTCACAAGTCAATCTGCAAACCTTTGAACTTCAAAAATTCACAAACTAAAGCATCTTAAACACCAAGAAACACTAAAATTCACAACACAATCAGAGAAAGCAAAAGAACAAACTTTTCTCAATTATAAAATAGAATTTGTTAATTCAATATGAAGATCAACTACGAACATAAATAACTCAACAACCCAAGAATGTTATCACATCTCCAAAGGACTGAAGCCATGATCTATAGCGAGGAAGCACGTTGAGGAAAAAAAAAAAACCTCAAGCTGGTTAACTTAATGTTAACATCAGTTCTGGAAAATAAAACATAAAACATAAAATTGATGATGTGTTATATGTTAAGTGGTTAGACTATTTGAATGGATGAGATTTCCTAAATGTAAAGGCTCAAGATCCACTGGTGGAGTAGATCTTTTTATTCGCCTAGCACACACAGAATTAGGTAAGTGATAAACTCTATTGCTTACACAACTCGAATCAGCAGTATTTTTCCTTTTCTGTCTCATACTTCTTGTAATAAAAATTCATTGTTTCAGGTGAAGGAAAACGAATAAAGTTAATGCTCAGCCTCATAGCTATTTGTTTTATTAGTATCTCGGTTGCCATAGTGTTCAGCTTGCACAGACTGCAATCTAACCAAAAAGGTAAGAGAATGAAGTGATCAAGGGATAAAAGAGTTCAAGAATGAGATGCTGTCGATTTCCAAACTCCAACATAAAAATCTTGTGAGGATCATGGCATGCTCCGTCCAGGATGATGAGAATTTACTAATTTACAAGTTCATGCCAAACGGAAGCTTGGATCCTCTTCTATTCAGTTAGTTTCATTACTCTTTGTTACCTAGTGATGGTCAATTTTTTCATTGTGAAGTGCACGGGATTGGGATGTATTAATGACATTACTGTTATATTTTGAATTCCAAATTCCAATGCCAGGAGGAGCAGTGCTTGATTGGGGTCGACGCTTCAAGATTATTTAGGGTGTTGCTAGATGGCTTCTTTATCTCCACCATAATTCCTGTTTGAAGGTAATACATAGAGATTTGAAGGTCAGTAACATTCTCTTGGATAAGAACATGAACCCAAAACTTTCAGATTTCGGATTGGCACATATCGTTTAAGGCACGCAAAGTCTAGCAAATACTTACAAGGTCGTAGGAACAATGTAAGCATCATCTCTTTCTTTTCCAATTCTCGGAAATCTTCTTTTAAAGTTAAATCCTTGAACACATTGTCACTCATATCTGAATAAATGGCCTAGGCGGGCTAGGCGGGGGCTAGGGAAGAAAGAAAAGGCCATTTTGGAACTCCAAGGTCTGGGACGAGATGACGATGGTGATATGAGGCGAGAGAGAGAGAGAGAGAGAGAGAGAGAGAGAGAGAGAGATGAAGATGAGATTGAAGAAGACGAGAGGTTGCGTGTTATGTTTAGGGTTTAAAAAAGGGCCTGAGCAAGAGAGAAGGGCATGGGCTTCAGAAAATACAACATTAAATGGATTTTGCATTATGAAATCACTAAAGTAACCACTAATAAGTAACAAATAACAAATTAATATTTTAATATTTTAAATAAATAAAAATTATATTATTTGTTTAATATATAATTTATATATCTTTTTTATTTTTCATGATTTTGGTATAAATTTATAATTTATAATACTAAATAATTTATTAAAAAAGGAATGGGCTCCGATTACTCCTTTAGGCGCTAGGCCCGTGCCTGCCGCCCCCTTACTACATAGTGATTTTTCGAACATTGGGATTAACATGTTGGTAGATCGAGGTGTAACAACACTTCAATTTACAACCCTGCAATTTTAATTGATTCCAATTCCCTTATGTTTGTGTTCATAATTAACTAAAAATTAGTTGCATTGCATGGAGTTTAGATTTAACTTTTCTAGTATAATTTTTCTCAAGACTATAAACAAAGAAGCAATTTCGTCAATTCTCAATTGATTGTATAGTGGCTACATGTCTCTGGAGTATGCCATGGGCGGGATGTTTTTTGAAAAATCTAATGGCTACAGCTTCGGGTTCTTAGAATTGGAGATTATTAGTGGCAAAGAGAATACCATCTTCTATTGCAGTGACCAACATATAGGCTTCCTAGCTTATGTAAGCTCACACTCTAAATCTTAATGCAAAATCGTATCTTTCATACAGCTTAAGCAACCTATATGAAGCTAAATGCAGCCGAGTTTAACAATTCTAGCCAACATACATGAAATTTTGTCAGGCATGGCACTCATGGAATGAAGGCAGGGGTTTGGAGTTGGTTGATGAAGTATTGGCAGATTCATATTCACCTTCAGAATCTCATGGATTTCTGTTTTTGAAACCCAAAGGCATTGCATATGCATGGGTCAAGTTTCAGATTGGCAAGCACATGGAATTGCATACAATTATATTGGATTTTTGCCTCAGTTTAGGTGCACATTGATGTGCCCATTTTTTTCACAAACATGATCCAATTGGTATTTGGTATAACAAACACAAGCAACATTTACAAGTTTTGGCATGCAGGTGGCATACCAAATTCACAAAGCGTAAGTGGGGATAAAGGGAACCAAGGTCCCAAAAAGGAGTTCTCCAAAAGATGCAATTCCCGACACAAAACTCTCGTCTAGGGACTTGGGGGATTTCTATTTGTGAGGTAAAATACCTCAGGTCCAGGTGGTCGGGTTGAGCTCGATATCAATGGACAAGCAGGGCTTGAGCCTTGGGCGGGATGTCTCCGGAGTATGAGTGCACGATAACTTTTTTAGAGTTCCAACTATTCACTTTTCTTTTTTAATAAAAAATTTCAGAGAAATATTTGTCACAACGAGTCTAGCATAAGGAACAGGGCAGGAGATTGTATAAATTTCAGTTTGTGTTTAGGTTTAAAGTATTAATACAACAACAAGTTTAGGCAATATGGAGAATTGGAGAAAATTTCAAACCACACCATTCATAATATGATTCATATTCCTCCTCAAATAAAAATATAATCTATATCATAAAACATATAATTTTTTCTTTTATTAAAAAAGACATAAACTACATCTGACTGTATATATAGCCAGTCAATCAATTGGTAAATGCGTAGGCAAGAACCTAAGGTATATAAACCCTAATATCCCCTCAACAAGATCCTTGATTAACTGACCTAGGAAAGTATCCTAAACGTGAAGGGAATGGTAAAAGTGAAAGTTTATCACTTTCATTCGACTCGTTGTTTACAGTGGCCTCATAATTGTCTTTATGTTTTTTAGAATGAAGGACATAAGGAGAATTGTTGATGATCCTGCAACAACATAAATCATGTGTAAAGTGTTTTGTAAATTGTTCAATTATAATTAAATATCTTATGTGTTTTGAAAAAAAAAAAAAAAATAGAAAACCCCAGTATAGCCACTCGGCTATATTATTTCTTTTTCAAAAAATTAAAAAACCGAGTATAGCCGCGCGGCTATACTATTGCTTTTAAAAAAACGGAGACTATAATATTTCTTTAAATTTTTTTTAAAAAAACGGAGTATCGCCGTGCGGCTATACGATTTCTTTAAAAAAAAATTAGAAACCCGCAGTATAGTCGCCCGGCTACACTATTTCTTTAAAAAAATTAAAAAACTAATTATAGCCGCCTTACTATACTATTTCTTTTAAAAAAATTTGAAAAAACCAAGTATAGCCACGGTGCTATACTATTTCTTTTTATAAAAAATAGGAAAACAGAGTATAGCCGCGCGGCTATACAATTTATTTCAAATAAATTTGAAAAACCGAGTATGACCGCGCGGCTATACTATTTCTTTTAAAAAAAATATTTAGAAAAACCGATTCTAAAGCTTAATTTCACACCAAGTGCACCCATAATCAGCTTTATACTTTCATTTCATGGTTCTTAGGGCATTCATTTGAGTTATCGTGCTTTTGTTGTGATGTGTGACCAAAGCAAACCTAACAGATCGAACTTTGTTGGCGAGTCCTTACTTAGTTAGGATTTTAGTTACTTACCATTTATCTAGTCATATTATAATTGAGATTTATTTCCTATTATAATTTATATTTATTTTCTATTGTAATTTAGATATATTTTCTATTTTATTTAGGGTTAACACATCTTTGTACTTGTATAAATACCTCCATATTGGAGAAGAATAATAATATGAGTGTATCTTAGCATAACAGAATATTTGCCCTACTTTGTTCGACATGGTATAAGGGCCTAGGTTTTCTTGTGACTTGTGTTTGCGGTCTCCTTGAGAGTCGTTGCTAATCCTTGAGATCTTCTGACAAATTGAGAGTCGTTAGCGTTCCTCATTCCTAACTCATCATGGGTCTTCATGTTGTTGTAAATCCCCGTTTCTCCTTTCCTTAATAATCAACATATATTTCTTCTGCCTTAGCCATAGCCGCACCTTTCTGCAATTTTACCCTTGTCTCTGTCCTTACCGTGTTTATGTTGAGTCATTACCTTTCTTTTTCTCTACCTATGCTTGCTGCTGCCTTTTTTCTCGTACTCTTCATCTCTCTATGAGCTTGCTTTCTTTTAAAATCAGATTGAGCCCATTTTAGTTTCAGTCTCTTGCACTTACAACTGAGCCTCTCTTTTAAATGTATACCATATGGGCAACACGCCCTTTGGCCATTGATTACCTGATCTCTTTCCTCTGTGAGCCTCGTCACCGCTCGCCGAGCCTTCTCCTAGCTGGCTTTTCTCTCTCTCTATCCTGCCGAGCTACACTGCCGATGTTCCCTTTACACAGCCGCTCTGGTCCTCTCTCTCTCTCTCTCTCTCTCTCTCTCTGTGCACACCTATATGGCCCTTTTTCCCATTTGATAATGTGTTTCACTTCCTGCCCAGAAACATCTGTGTTTTCTTACTCTCTATTTATTTGGGTGTTACTTTTTCCAAATCTCGACTCTTATACATCGTCGGATTTGAGGGAGAGTGACACTGATGCTCATCTATTCCGCTGCAATTCAGGTACCTATCTGTCATGGCTGATTCTTCTACATTTGAGCGTCAGTCCACTTCTGTTTCTTAAGTGCCACTTTTCTTATGGTTTTGACGACCTCTTCTCTTCAGGGGAGAGAGGGAGTGAAGAGAAGTTGTCTCTGTTGTTGCTGCTGCCACAGTTGTTTGCCCAGGGGGAGTGAAGAGAAGTTGTCTATGTTGTTGTTGCTTCCACAGTTGTTTGCCCTGCCTTGTCTTGCTGGTGCCAGTGCCTTATATTGCTCTTGCTGGTGCTAGTGCCTTTTGTTGCTCTTGCTGCTTTCAGTTTTGTTGTCTCTTGCTGGGGACATTGTTATTGTTGCTTATGCCTTTGCTGGTGTGTTTCTGTTATGGCCACGGCCGTTGACCGTGCCTTTGCTCTTGACTTTCTTTGCTTTACCTTACCTTATTTTTTAGAGGTTTGGTTTTACCTTGCCTTACCCTATTTTTTAGGGTTTGGTTTCTGTCATATCTACTACCGTGCTCACATGGATTTTGTGTTCTGCCTTACCTACTGCCGTGCTCACAGGGCTCCTGTGTTTTGCCTTATCTACTGCCGTACTCACAAGGCTTCTGCGTTTTGCCTTATCTGCTGTCGTGCTCACAGAGTTTTTGTGTTCTGCCTTATATGCTGCCGTGCTCACAGGGTTTCTGTGTTCTGCCTTATTTACCACCGTGCTCACATGGTTACTGTGTTCTGCCTATCTACTGTCGTGTTCACAGGGCTCCTGTGTTTTGCCTTATCTACTGACGTGTTCACAGGGCTTCTGTGTTCTGCCTTATCTGCTGTCTTGCTCACAAGGCTTCTGTGTTCTGCCTTATCTGCTGCCGTGCTCACAAGGTTTTTGTGTTCTGCCTTATTTACTACCGTGCTCACAGGGTTTCTGTGTTTTGCCTTACCTATTGCCGTGCTCACAGGGTTTCTGTGTTCTGCTATGCGCCCTATTTTTTAGGGTTTGCTCTTGTGTTTCCGCTTCAAACTTTGCTTTAGTTTGTCACTTGTTTCACTCGTGGTTGACTAAAAGACCTTCTCTACAATTGGTGCTTCTCAAGTATGGTGTTCAGTGACTCGCTTGTCAAGTTGGGCCTGCGAAATATCTTTGCCCACCTTGAGGGGGAGTGTTGGCAAGTCCTTACTTAGTTAGGATTTTGGTTCCTTACTATGTTAGGATTTTAGTTACTTACCATTTATCTAGTCATATTCTAATTGAGATTTATTTCCTATTATAATTTATATTTATTTTCTATTGTAATTTAGATATATTTCCTATTTTATTTAGGGTTAACACATCTTTGTACTTGTATAAATACCTCCATTTGGAGAAGAATAATAATATGAGAATATATGAAAATTTTCCCCTACTTTCTTAAGGCATTCATTTGAGTTATCATGCTTTTGTTGTGGTGTGTGACCAAAACAAAACTAACAGATCGAACTTGACTACATTGCTAGTGATGTCTGCATAAAGATTCAGATAGATTCATTCAGTAACAAAATTCAAAGCAATAGTGCATAAAAATTCAGATAGATTCATTCAGTAACAAAATTCAAAGCAATAGTGCGTCCCCTGCAAATGCAGAGGAATTAGAAAGATCGAACTCTACATTTCTAGTGATGATCTTGTCTTTTGAAAAGCTTCTTTAGTTATACAGAACTACACAGTAAAATAACTTACCTTAACAATGTGAACAATAAGAAAAGCCACCGAGACATACACAAGCATCGATAACTCCTTCCAGTAAATGTTGTGTGATATAGGTACTTGGACAGAGTTGTTCACAAATTCAATAAGACAGAATCTGAAACAACTTCAAAATTGCAGATAACCAAGAACTTGGAACTGACCTGCTCATCTTGCAATGAAACCATCTGCAACAAAGGAGATGTGCGCTTTAGAGTTTTCTTTTAGTTCATATTAGTGCATAGTCTCTAAACTTGGTCTATATATACACTCACCGCCACGTTTGGACTCCAATTCCAACTACTTTTCTGCTTCCTGAAAATCATGCAAAACCTCAAATTCCTTGTTAGTACGTTGGTAACAGACCCTGCTCATTGATAGCCCAGGGGATCCGGATAGTTGTGTGAAAATCTTACCTTCATCACTGTCTCTTTCTCCCATGTTTATATGCCTTTCATTAAAGCCTTTGTTGCTGTTGTATCAGCCAGAACTCAAAAGAATATCTAATAAGATTATTAGGAGTGTATATTCTGTAGACACTACAGAGAATTTTTTTTAGTTGGATAATGGTTGGTTATTCTATAAAATTTTCCTACATTTTTCCAAATAATTCAAGAAATAGTGACTTTCAGAAGGAACAAAGAAAGTTAATAAACAATCCAGTAGAAGCTTTGAAAGTATAAAAAAATAGTTCAAATGTTTGGTGTTGAAAGCATTTTTATGCCAAGTTTTGAAGTTTCTAGAGAACGATTAAGCGCAATAAATATAAAGATTTGATGTGCTTTTCTTTTAGTTGTGTACATATTCCATTTTATCAGTTCAGTTCTCATTCTCAAAGTAAAAAATTAGTTAGGAAATTGTGGTCAAAATGTTATTACCTAAGAAGAGAATAATAAGTAGAACTGTAACCATCCAGTCGGCGAACATGACGTTGAAGGCAACTCCTATGCTGATGCCCAGCACGAGCATTGGCTGAAAGAGAAATGCCAGATCATAATCTATAAGGGGCATGTCCAGTGTTGGGTGCCTAAGCCTCAAATTGAAGTATACAGTTGAAACTGAAGCACCCATTATCATACCCTGCATGACCAATAGGATGGCATGTAGTTCTTTAATTCTGTCTAAACTGAATACATTAAGATTAAGTTAACAAGTTAAAAGAAAAGATTAATAAGAAAGGTGATTACTGGAAGACTTGGGATCAAAACCAATGATAAAGGAATTTAGCCGCGCGGCTATACTATTTCTTTTTAAAAAAAATTAAAAAACCGAGTTTAACCGTGCGGCTATACCTTTTATATATGTATTGTTAGCTCAAGTAGTGCAAAAAACAAATTCACAACTTGCTCCATACTTAACTCATTTTCTAGAGTACCAAACCATCTTAAAGCTCAACTTGCTACAAAACTTCAAATTTCAATAACTAATATAACCCAATTCAAATATTCATATATAATTATTACCTAATTAAAGTATTACAATTTACACACGAGTATTACAATTAAAGATGGCCAATGATAGGAGAACAATATAAAAATGAGTAACAGATCATGATCCTAAACAACTTGCATAAGTGGATGCATTGGGTATGCTCGGCCTCAGAAATCAAGATTGTGGGGATAATAATTCCTCATATATTATAGTCTCACGGTTATACTATTTAAATATATTATTTGAAGGCGTATAGCTGCACGATTAATGTAACAGGTGGGCAGATTTCTGTTGTTCAAGGTCTTTTGGAAGAGCTGCCTGGAGAGTTTTTAAGTTACATACGTTCCATGGACATGAAGCCACTCACCTTCCATGCATCAAGCCAACCATCTACATCATAGGTTCGTTCTTCTTCGCAGATGCAGTAGTTCAATCTCAAGAATCTGTTCATTATCAAACATGTTACTGAGGATTAATTTCAAAGAGCTTTTTTGTTTTGTTTTCGTTTTTAATTTCATAGTGCTTTATCAGTGCACTCACCGCCAGGTTTGGACTCTGATTCCAACTGCTTTTCTGCTTTCTGAAAGTCATGTGAAACCTCAAATTCCTTGTCATTAGATTGGTAACAGACCATATTCATTGAAAGTTAAGTGAAAACCTTACCTTCTTCATCATTGTCTCTTTCTTCCATGTTTCTATGCCCTTTATTAAAGCTTTTGCTGCTGTACCTTCCAGAACTCAGAAGAATATCTTATAAGATTATTCGGAGTATTCAAAGTAAATGAGGAATTTGTGTTCAAAATGTTATTACCTAAGAATGATATAAGTAGAACTGTGACCATCCAGTTGGCGAACATGACGTTGAAGGCAACTCCTATGTTGATGCCTAGCATGAGCATTGGCTGAAAGAGCAATGCCAGATCATAATCTATAAAGGGGCATGTCCAGTGTTGGGTGCCTAAGGCTCAAATTGAAGTATACTGTTGAACCTGCAGCACCCATTATCATACCTGCATGACCAATAGGATGGCATACAGTTCTTCAGTTCTGTCTAAATTGAATACATTAAGATTAAATTAACAAGTTAAAAGGAAAAGTAGTGATTACTGACACTTAGAAATGGCAGTGGAAGACTTGGGATCAAAACCAATGATCAAGGCAAGCATTGCCTCCACCCCCAACACCTCCCACACTACCCAATGCTGCACCAGAGAATCCAACTATTGAGCCAATTAACTACAATTTTCCAACCAAACTTGATCTCCCGAACAACCAAAATACATATGTCAAAGTCAAAATACCACAACAGTAAACATGAAAGGAAGAATCATAAAATCTTATTGGAACAAGTCAAAATACCCTAAAATTAGACGTAAAAGTTATATCCCCTTTATGTTCTCGCTCTCTCTCTCTCTCTCTCTCTCTCTCTCTCTCTCTCTCTCTCTCTCCCTCTCTCTCTATGCGTGTGTGTGTTCTTGCTGGAGATGCATTAACTACGGTGTTTAAGGGAGATCAAACTCACTGGTGGAGCAAGTTTGAGTATATGTCTGCACAAAGTCAGATACAGTTAAAATCATGGTGCTAGTAAACCAAAAGGTTGTAGGAACAATGTAAGCATCATCTCTTTCTTTTCCAATTCTCGGAAATCTTCTTTAAAAGTTAAACCCTTGAACACACTGTCACGTATATCTGAATAAATGGCCTAGGCGGGCGCTAGGCGGGCTAGGCGGGGGCTAGGCGGTCTAGGCGGGCGCTAGGCAGGCGCTAGGCGGTCTAGGCAGAAGCTGGCGCCTAGAAGAAAGAAAAGGTCATTTCGGAACTCCAAGGTCTGGGACGAGATGACAATGGTGATATGAGGCGAGATAGAGAGACGACGATGAGATTGAAGAAGACGAGAGGTTGCGTGTTATGTTTAGGGTTTAGAAAAGGGCCTGGACAAGAGAGAAGGGCCTGGGCTTCATAAAATACAACATTAAATGAATTTTGCATTATAAAATCACTAAAGTAACCACTAATAAGTAACAAATAACAATTAAATATCCAATACACAAAATTGCTTACACAACTCGAATCAGCAGTATTTTTCCTTTTCTGTCTCATACTTCTTGTAATAAAAATTCATTGTTTCAGGTGAAGGAAAACGAATAAAGTTAATGCTCAGCCTCATAGCTATTTGTTTTATCAGTATCTCGGTTGCCATAGTGTTCAGCTTGCACAGACTGCAATCTAACCAAAAAGGTAAGAGAATGAAGTGATCAAGGGATAAAAGAGTTCAAGAATGAGATGCTGTCGATTTCCAAACTCCAACATAAAAATCTTGTGAGGATCATGGCATGCTCCGTCCAGGATGATGAGAATTTACTAATTTACGAGTTCATGCCAAACGGAAGCTTGGATCCTCTTCTATTCAGTTAGTTTCATTACTCTTTGTTACCTAGTGATGGTCAATTTTTTCATTGTGAAGTGCACGGGATTGGGATGTATTAATGACATTACTGTTATACTGGCTAGAATGAAATTTCGTGTTGATGTTTCTTGTTTGTTTTAGAATTGTCAGTCTTGCATATGCATGGGTCAAGTTTCAGATTGGCAAGCACACGGAATTGCATACAATTATATTGGATTTTTGCCTCAGTTTAGTTGCACATTGATGTGCCCATTTTTTTCACAAACATGATCCAATTGGTATTTGGTATAACAAACACAAGCAACATATACAAGTTTTGGCATGCAGGTGGCATACCAAATTCACAAAACGTAAGTGGGGATAAAGGGAACCAAGGTCCCAAAAAGGAGTTGTCCAAAAGATGCAATTCCCCACACAAAACTCCCATCTGGGGACTTGGGGGATTTCTATTTGTGAGGTAAAATACCTCTTGGTCGAGCTGAGCTCAGGTCCAGGTGGTTAGGTTGAGCTCGATATCAATGGACAGGCTGGGCTGAGCTTTGGGCGGGATGTCTCCGGAGTATGAGTGCATGATAACTTTTTTAGAGTTACAACTGTTCACCTTTTTGTTTTTTTTTTTTAAATAAAAAATTTCAGAGAAATATTTGTCACAATGAGTCTAGCATAAGGAACAGGGCAGGAGATTGTATAAATTTCAGTTTGTGTTTTGGTTTAAAGTATTAATACAACAACATGTTGAGGCAATATGGAGAATTGGAGAAAATTTCAAACCACACCATTTATAATATGATTCATATTCCTCCTCAAATAAAAATATAATCTATATCATAAAACATATAATTTTTTCTTTTATTAAAAAAAACATAAACTACATCTACTGTATATATAGCCAGTCAATGAATTGGAAATTGCGTAGGCAAGAACCTAAGGTATATAAACCATAATATCCCCTCAACAAGATCCTTGATTAACTGACCTAGGAGAAAAGTATCCTAAACGTGAAGGGAATGGTAAAAGTGAAAGTTTATCGCTTTCATTCGACTCGTTGTTTACAGTCGCCTCATAATTGTCTTCCTGTTTTTTAGAATGAAGGACATAAGGAGAATTGTTGATGATCCTGCAAAAACACATAAATCATGTGTAAAGTGCTTTGTAAATTGATCAATTATAATTAAATATCTAATGTGTTTTGAAAAAAATAATAATAGAAAACCACAGTATAGACAAGCGGCTATACTATTTCTTCTCCAAAAAATTAGAAAAACCAAGTATAGCCGAGAGGCCATACTAATTATTTTTAAAAACGAGGCGAAAAAAAATTAGAAACCCCCATTATAGCCGCCGGTTATTCTATAAAATTTTCGTACATTTCTCCAATTAATTCAAGAAATAGCGACTTTCAGAAGGAACAAGGAAAGTTAATAAACAACCAGTAGAAGCTTTGAAAGTATAAACAAAAGTTCAGAAGATAATAAATAAATAGAAAAAAAAAAAAAAAAAAAAAAAAAAAAAAAAAAAAAAAAAAAAAAAAAAAAAAAAAAAAAAAAAAAAAAAAAAAAAAAAAAAAAAAAAAAAAAAAAAAAAAAAAAAAAAAAAAAAAAAAAAAAAAAAAAAAAAAAAAAAAAAAAAAAAAAAAAAAAAAAAAAAAAAAAAAAAAAAAAAAAAAAAAAAAAAAAAAAAAAAAAAAAAAAAAAAAAAAAAAAAAAAAAAAAAAAAAAAAAAAAAAAAAAAAAAAAAAAAAAAAAAAAAAAAAAAAAAAAAAAAAAAAAAAAAAAAAAAAAAAAAAAAAAAAAAAAAAAAAAAAAAAAAAAAAAAAAAAAAAAAAAAAAAAAAAAAAAAAAAAAAAAAAAAAAAAAAAAAAAAAAAAAAAAAGAAATAGTGTGCTGAAATAATCAGGCTACAAATTGTATTCTAATATAATCACTTGGGGACGTGAAATGACCGAAGTGCCCTCCATATAAAAGCAGATGTATCAACCCTTTAGCACCTCTTTCTTCTCTGTTTTCGCAGTTTGCCAAAAATGGGGGAACTCTAGGTTGCGAGACATTTTGGCACTGAGCAATCCAGTTCACAACCCATCCATAGTCACAACCCAGATGTCCTAAACTTTCGAACCCTAGTTTGACCGTAGCGAAGCCGGCGGAACGCACCGCCTCCATTCTTGACCTCCAGATCGAAAGTGACTGTTGCGAAATCCACGGAGAAGCGAAAGTGGCGACTTCCGGCGTCGTTGTGAACGGAGGTGAGTTCAGATATTGGTTTGGTAGTGTATGTGTATTATAAAATCGTGCATCCCCTTTTCACCACAGAAGGGCAGAAGAGCTTAAATTTTCAGTTTGAAGGCGTTATGATATGTTGAAATTCATAGTTTGTGTTATTATCTGCAGTGGGATGTATGTGGTAAACTTGAATTTTGGTTAAAATTGACCGAATGCTTGTATAATGTAGTGCAATGTGTTTGATAATGGGCAAAATAACAGCACACAGAAAAATCATATGTTAACTTTGTCTGGCCTAAAAGTAGGTTTGTTAGGGTAGTTTTAGGCTGAATGTAGATGCTAATGTGGGGAATTTATTGGCATTCTGGGTTTGTTTTGGTAAGAAGTAAAGTTTGTGTGTTTTGGTTTCCAATTTGGTAATTGAGCTTATACCACATAATATGTTCTGTATCACAACCTGAGCCTTTTGTTGAAGTTGTTTACATTTGTTGAAAACCCTTAGAGGTTAGAGGGTTCATATTGCTGCCATGGTATGTTTATGTGAGTTTGTTAATAACTTGGAACCCACAGCTATGTACAAAATCAGAGAAAAGACAGAAATGAATAAAAGTTCCTTGTTGAAGCAGCTAGAATTTGAGTTTGGAAGATTTATAAAATGATACGTGTGGGATGATGTTGTGTATGTTTTTATTTGTTTGAATGTATCTTTTTTAGTTTTATTCATTGCTGTAGTAATTATCTATGTTATTTGCAGAAATGGATACTGTTGGAATATTGATATGCTACAATGGAAGTTGGGTTAAGAAGGATAACATTGAGAGTTACGAAGGTGGGGAGGCTAAAGGCACAATAGTGTCACGGAACGTAACGTTTTCCGACCTTGTTCAGCGCATTTATAAGATCATGGATGCAAATCCCACGAAATATATTGTCACACTGAAATATTCAGTTCCTGTATCCTCATCTGTCTGTAAGCATATAAGGGTTGAAGACAATGATGATGTTAAATATTTTGTAAAGTACAACACAGATGTTATGGCCTCTAAAGTAACCCCTTTAGTAGCAAGCTTGAAAAATATTGAAGGTCATGGTATTGAAGGGTGCAATGGCATTGTAAGCGTTGAGAGTAGCAATGCTCCTGCTGACTTTGTTGTGGAACAAAGAAATGTGGTAATTCGGGACAATGAAACTGAAAATGGTGGGAATGATTTTAATTGGTGTGATTGGGTTGAAGAAGTGAATTTTGAAAGTGGTGAAAACATAGTTGCTGATTTCAATGAACCTAGCAACGAAGAGGAACCGCAGTCTGCTCCGATTCTGCATCCTCATGAGGACAGCAATGTCAAACCGTCCACTGTGCAATGTAGACAGGTGCAATCCGAACCTCCCCGACAATCAAGTTCGACTGAAATGCATACAAGTCGGGGTGATTTGAAGCATGGTCAGAGTTTGGAATATATTCAGTATGGTGGAGGCGTTTCGTGCATAAATTGGGAAGCAAATTTGAAGGTTGGCCAAGTTTTATCCAAATAAGATTGCCCTTTTAAAAACCATCAGTTTAGCAGCTATTACAGGCCACTTTCGATTGAGAACTGTCCAATCTGGGAAGCATCGGTTGTGTGTTCGCTGTTGGCAGCTTCCTTGCCCTTGGAAAGTTCGGGCATATAAAGTTGGATTACATGAGTTTAAGGTTGTTAAATACGATCCACTTCATGAATGTGATATAACGTATATAAGTAGTCATCATCCTCAAGCTACGACTGAATTGCTGTCTGACTGTGTTAAGTGGAGATTTCAGATTCGCGCAGCATTTATACAGCAGCTGATATCAAGAAAGATGTGAAACAAAATTTCGGTGTGAGCATAAGCTACTCTACAGCGTGGAGAAGCCGAGAGTTAGCTTTCAAAAGAATTAGAGGGTCTGCAGAAGAGTCGTATTCCCTTCTCCCTTCCTATTGTTATGAATTGGAGCGTACAAATCCGGGAACTTTGACATACATTGAGACTGATGCAGCTGATCACTTCTTATATTTTTTTATGGCAATTGGTGCATGCATACGAGGATTTAAGTCGTCAATGCGGCCCGTGATTGCTGTTGATGCTACTCATTTGAAGTGCAAGTATAGAGGTGTTTTGTTTGTTGCGACCGCATTTGATGGAAATCGGAACATATATCCTGTTGCCTTTGGGATTGGAGATTTGGAGACGGATGCAGCTTGGGAGTGGTTTTTGAGAAAACTACATTGTGCAATTGGTGATTGCTCGAATCTCGTTGTTATATCAGATCGCAAGGTTAGCATACAGAATGGGTTGCGTAGAGTTTTTCCTGGGGCAAGCCATGGTATTTGCTTTTATCACTTGAAAGGCAATATCAAAGCCTCATTTAAGTTGAAGCAGCGGGATCCGATATTGGGGTATTTTGTAAGGGCAGCTAAGTCTTATCGTCTAGCGGAGTTCAATCGTCACTTTTCCAGGATAAACAATGACCGAGTGCGAACTTATTTACTACGTGCAGGCGTCCAGAAGTGGTCTCGGGCCCATTGTGATGGACGACGATATAATGTGATGACAACGAATATTGTGGAGTCCATTAATTCAGTTCTTCGGTTTGCAAGGATGCTTCCGGTGCTACACTTGATTGACGAAATTACAAATCTACTTGTCTGTTGGTTTAGGCAACGTCGAGAGTTAGCAATGAAATCTCATTCTACGTTGTGCCCTGATTTAGGGGAAATTAAGTTAAGGAAGAGGTTAGACGCTGCGTCAAGGATGAATGTGGTCAAAATCAATGAGGTCGAGTATAATGTTCTGGATGGTGATTTGAACGGTCTGGTGCACTTGCAAAACCGTAGTTGTACATGCAGGAAGTTTGACTTGGAGCAACTCCCGTGCAAGCACGCTATTGCGGTATGTCGGCACTTGAAATTGAACCCCTACTCCTTTGCCTCTTCTTATTATACACGAGCTACATGGGCAGCTGCATATGCTGAATCTATTTATCCTGTACCACCTGAAGGCACATGGGTTATTCCCCAAAATGTGAAGAAGGTCAAAATCCTCCCTCCTCTTTGTAAGGTTATGCCGGGCCGTCGCAAAACGCAAAGAATAGCTTCGAGAGGAGAGGAGTCCCGTCAAAAAAAATGCTCAAGGTGTGGTGTGAAGGGCCACTACCGAAGTACATGCAAACAATCTGTCCCTCTCACCAACAAGCAGCACGTTGCGTAGATGTTACACTTGTTTAGTTTCTACCTCTGTTTTGGTCAACTGCGAAGTTGATGAATAGCTTCGGTGATGCTGCAGGGATGGAAGTCGGTCCACTCAACGGTCATGTGAAGCATATGGAACAAGGTAACAAGTCCTTTGCAATGACAGCCTATTATTAGTAGAAATTGGTGAACATACAGTGCCATCACCACAGTGAAACCAGCCGTAAATTAACAATGTTCTACTGGCCAATGTGTGTTTCAGATTAGCATTTCTGTTCATTTGTTATGTACCTTTCATTTGAAATTGAATTGAATTTGATTTGGTGTTCTCTATTGTGATTGTAGTCAAATTCTCATAAATTGCTTTCCTTTCCTATATGTGATTGTATATTCACACTATCATCATGCTGCTGTCCTTTTGTTGCGTCCAAAATGAAAGCGCCTACAAGGCTAACTACAATTGCATCTCGTACATAAAACTCCTTCAAATGCAAAGCTTACGCAATTACTGTGATACTGGTAGTACTTCATGATTGCTCATTCTTCTCATCGCCACAGAACAGAATATATAGAGAATTTGTGGGAAAGTATACATGCCGTTCTTGCTGGTCAACAGATCGCGATATTATCTATAATATCGCGATCTATTGTGATGTGAACTTTAAATACAAAAGCATTATTCACTTGAAGTCACACACACAGAGGATGAAACCCTTCCCCCCTTCTAGGTTCTGAGGTACTTAACCACAACGCCAGTCATCGCTTTTTGATTACTGACTATGGACTCTGGTATTTATAAGTGTTCGAACCTGTTTTGCAAAATGAAAATTATTTACTTAGTGTTCTATATTGTTGCTCAATTATTTCATTACTTGATGTCATTCATTACAAACCTTTTTAATCCATTTCATGTTATTGCTTCTTTAATTCGAAGGTTCATTATAAGTACTGAAATTACTATCCCTTCAAATTGTTGCTTGTTTACTTAAATGAACACCCTCCTTTTTTTTATTTCGTATTTAATTCTTCCTTTCATAAGTGTCTTTTTGTTCCACGTAAAAATTTGCATGTATGTATACTGTCCGTGGTTTGTATGGAATCGATATCTTTCCGATCTTTCCATGGATATTTTCGTGCTTCAGAACCACCAAACTTTCCTAAACCCGCCATCGTTACGACCTTTGCTACAGTCCCTCTTTACCATTACTCAATTGGAAAAGCTATATGCTATGGTGCCAATCAATAAAGCATCAATACAAGCACAATATACCTACCCTACGATCACAATATGACACAATACAATAGCAATACAAAAACAATAAAACAACAATATAAGTACTCTACGATTCCAATATGAGACAATAATATACCAATACACAAACAATATAAGTACTTGACGCTGCCAATATGAGGGCAATAAACATACAATAAGCACACATACAGTACACAACACTTTACGTTTATACAAACTTACTAATTTGCCACTGAACCGTGAGAATAAGAGCACGGCGTAAACAAGGCACCACATTCATACAAAATTCATTTCGTGTCCACAAAATGCTTTGAACCCGTACTTACCCTGACCCAGCTACACAGATCCCTACCAAAATCCAAATGGTTACAGGTCCATCATTAGATCCATGTCCTTGTTCTTCTTCCTCGCTGCATGCACAAGGCTATGATCAGCCATTCCTTGGCCACAGCTATTCAGCACCTGCCAGACACCAGCAACATCTATTTGGCTCCAATTGTAGTCTGGTGAGATGACGGAAGCATAATCTCGGAACATCTCGAACCCATTGTTAAAAGATTCAACCATTTCATGGTTAAATTCTTCAGATTCAGTGAATTTTTGCACAGCATCTTTCTTTGTTTCTTCCAATTTGACCTTCAACCACTCTAACTTTGCCCTCCGACTTTTGGCTTTCATTGTTTGCTTGACTTCTCTAGCATATGCATTGTTCAGCTTGTTCGTCAAGTTTCCCATCACCTGGCCATGAATATCACATTTCGTTTCCCACCAATCCGTAGCCGCACACAAATATTGGAGGTCCTGCTTCACTTCAGCAATTTTGTCTAGTGGATCATTGTTGTCAGCCTCACTTCCAGATGACGTGGGATCGTTATTTGGAGTCCCAGGTGGAGATGGGAAAGGGACATGCCATGGCGGGTCTCCCGGGTAACTGCCATGGTCGTTCGGAGGGATTACGTCTGACATCTTCAACTATGGATGGGGAAATTGCACACATGCACCGTGCAAAACACTTAACATTAGGTATCAGTCTGCAGTTTTTTTTCTTCGTAACCAACAATAGGGTGAGCTTTAGTATAGGTTTGCGCTCTGCTATATATGGAGTACTATGTTTGATATGGAATTCAATGAGTACGTTAAACCCTCTTATATAGAGGAAGACATGTGTTTTATATTTATTTCAAATTGGTCATTACAGCTCTGTCTGCACCCTGTCCTCTTTGTAATTAATGAGAGCATTGTAAGATGCCCATTACAGCCTTACCAAATACGAATAAAGGTATGTCAACGGTGGAATAATCGCCCGTACAAATATACACACCTAAACAACTGTGAATACACAATAAACACAACCTTACTAAAAAACTGTATACTATCTGAATATTCAAGGTCTTGACATAGTAATACTACAAATGACGACCAAGTTCCCTAATTATCAAATTACGAAATATACATAAATGTTTATAAATTATTCAGTATTCCCTACAAATGACGATACTATATGTTGTCCATATGAGAAAATTAAATAACACGAAAACAATCATATACAGTCCCGACCCACATTTCAAGGGGAAGTTAACGTCAAGTGGGCGGAATACACATGAACTTATTTGCAAGTATCAAAATTCACAATTCGGATTTTACCGATATATTAAAAAATGGAACTCATCTACATCAGTTATTTGGAAGACAGCAACAAAGAAATTCGAAACACATATAATTTCATGGTCCTTTTTGTAAACATCTGCATTTGTACTTTGTGAAATGACCGTACTTATAAATTTGGGACATTTTGTACTTTTGGGACATTTGTACCTCATACACGAGGGAAATTGGTCAAAGAGGACAAAAGGAATAATTTGCAAATACAACAAAGGTCTCATACAACAAACACCAACCAATAACCTAATTACACAAACCCCAAGTGTAACGTGTTGGCCAACAATTGGAGCCAACCACTCCCGCCAAAAATTGGAGCCAACAACTCCCGCCAATAACTCCCGCCAGTTGCTGACTGTCATTTACTCCTGCTCATTATTACCTCCCACTATTTAATTGTAACCCAGCTGCATCCACCCAACATTTCCATCACATTTACTCCGTCAAAACCCCCCCTTTGCGCAACAATTTCACCCACATCACAATTACTTCCAGTTTGGGCAAACTAATGCCCACACCAAACCGCAGTAAATACCCAACACCCATGGACTGAAACCCCACACCAAACCCAACCCTTGCCATTATGAAGGAGGGGACAATGACACACCTGCCTAATCAGCAACAGAAGACACTGAAGACTGGGTCCATGGACTGCAGCAATGTCGAGCCAATACTATGTTCTGGAAAAATCTCCATGCAGACATAGTGTTAAAAATTAAAGAGGGCCAAGCTAGGTGGGGTATCATAAAAAACCGCACAATTGGCCACGTTATGAAGCCCGGATGCATCTCCTACATATAAAGGCTGTCAGAGCTAAAATTGAAAATGCCCCTGCCACTGCAGTTCTTGTATTCAAGGAATCTGACGAAATGGCTCAGTTGAAGCAAAAACAACTGCAATCTGGTTTCGAACTATTTAGGAAGTTTGCAAAAATTGTGGATGCAGAAGGAAAGTGGGACATCACTGTGGGAGGGGTCATGAATTTAATGGGTCGCGGTCGCCTCATTTGAAGGGTATGCAACTCAAAATGTATCCACAGACAGAAGATATGACTTGTAATATGACCATTTTAACGGTTTAGGACAAACTTTGTACAGTGGAATGGAAGTATGACTTGGCCTCTTTTTTAATTATGTGCGGATGAGGTGCCCTGTTTATCTATTTATTTTGTATTAGGTAAGTTTGAGGGGGCCTCTTTTTTTGATATGTATAATGTAATCTTCAGGTGCCATCTTTGTTAACATTGTATTAAGTAAGTTTGTGGTCACCTTTTGTGTTGTTTTGTTTTTTTAATATGTTGTTTTATGTAAGTTCACGCTGGGATGTTATTTTATTTTGTATTCTGCCAGTTTGAGGAGGCCTTTGTATTTTGATTGTTCCTGTTGCCTTCTTTGTATTAAGTATGCTGGAAGTTTTAAAACAGCAGTTGATGTAATTTGGATGCATTCATTTCAAATCTGAATTATAACGTAATTACCTTCCACATAGTTCAACTTTGTACACTTGTCAAATGACATTGCAAAACCATTACTGAAGACAGCATAAAACAAACAATTTTGAATAGCAGTACCAACCGAAAATAATGCACAGGTTACATTGCAATGCCAATATACGTGCAATATCATGCATTAGAAAACCAATAAAGAGCATTACAAACCCAATAAAGAGGCAATAGCAAACCAATATAGTTGCACTATAACACCAATACGTCAATAATAAACCAATATACACGCAACGAAGAATTAACATGTACTGTATTTCTAAGTGTATACCATGCCGTATGTGGATTCCAAAATAAGGGTATGAATAACATTCCAATTGGATTAGGCCCTCAGTGTTGCCTATGGTAAAGTTTGATATGTTGTATAAAAACCACCCCATAAACTCCAAGTTTCATGTTGGTGCGCTCACACGGTTTTATTATCCAAATTTCGCACATGCAAGTGAAACCCATTGACCACAAGATGAGCCTCTTGACCTCTCCAAATAGCGCACAAGTTGAACAACAATTCATACAGAGAAAACAAGGAGATGAGTAGGAGGAGCCTCCGTAGCGGTGCAGCTGAGTCAGTGAGGTCTCCATGCCACTCTCAAGAGTCGCCTTCAAT